GATATGAAAAGGGTTAAGAGATGTGAAACTGTAATAATAAAATAAAACAGAATAAAATGGAAATAGGCGAGAACTAGATGTAAGAATCATGTGGTAAAAATGATAAGCTAGGAGCAGGGTAATGAAAGTGACGGTTTAAACTGTTTCTGCACACATAGTTCTGGTTTAAGGTTATGTATCGCCACGGCTTATGCGATACAAAGTAGTGGTATGCGTGCACCTTATCATAAGTTTGATTTGAACCTGTAAATAATGTCAAACGATGGTTTGGAAGCTGTGTGGTTGCAGTCAACGTGTTGGAGGATTGATGAATTTATTCCTCTACGTTCACCTTTACAAAGCCATACTGGGAGGTGCACTCTCCTATAATTTCCCAACTGATTTGATGACTCATGATATATTATCCTCACTTATATATAAACACAACTGTACATCTTTTGAAAATGAAACCGACTCAAAGAGAAATTTTCTTAGTTAGAATTCATACATTATTAAACCTTATCACGAAGGTGAGTCTTTAACCATCAAGGTACCTTTGTGTTTCATAAACTTCTCTTGGCTCTATTTAGCATACTAAACTAAGAGGAAGATCATTGATCCAAGAAAATATCCTGCGTACAAAAATATGTTCAAAAACATTGTGTTGCCAAGTAGTATTACCATTGATGCTATCCTGTACATCAACGATGTGCCCCGTTTCCCAAGTCACAATTCTAAGATGGGGAATGTTCTTCTGTTAGTAAGTTCTGTGTATGATTTCCTCAGCCATCTTGTCAGGCAATAAATCATCAAAGAAGATGAGAAAAAGAATTCAACGTACACCGATCACGAAGATGGTACATTTACCAAACTGTATCAAAAATCAGTAGTGTGATGATGATGAAGACAGAATGGATATAAAAAATTCCACAGAAATCAGACAGACAAATTAAAGTGGGATAATTCACAAAAATGCATCAGCTCAAGTCATGATACTTCACATCAGTACAAACAAAAGAAGTGGACAGAAAAAGAATGGTATTCAAATCGACAAGTGTCCAGAAAACGAGTGGACAATCAAATGGAGGTCAGTAAAAATACTCCAGATTTTGAAAATGATGAACAATTCATTCACGCTTGCCATTGTGATCAACTTTCAGCGATCTTTAACCTCTGACTACTACAATTTAGAGGGACCGATTCACGTAGATCACACCTCTTTAAAAAGTTCAAACATTCAATCAAAGACTCCATTGGCTTTCTTCTGATACAGTCCTAATTTGCTTAACACCAAACCTTGAGGTAGAAGTTGGCTAGGCGTGAAAAATAAGACCAAGCCACTGCAGGCAATGAAGGTTCATAAATTTATGGGACGATTAGCTTTCCTTGCTTACTACTTCAAGCCTAGCTTCAACACTGCTTTTATTTCAGTTTCAACACATGCCAACAATGACACAAAGATGTCTAATGTTAAAAACCTGTAGCTTCCTCAATATCTCCATCTTCAATACTCATACTTCACAGCCCCGAAACAGGACAGAGTGGACTGCTACGAAGTACAATCATCTTTTGATTCGTAGTCAGATAACTTTTTTATGACGTAATTTAGGCAATTTAAAACGAACCTTTTGGAATCGACTTGAGATCTCGTCAGTAAGCAGACATAACCATTCGAGCTGATGCAGCTTACCAAGCAGGTAAAGCGCTCAATTATTCCACTACTTTTTATACTTACACTCATACTTGGTGCAAATTAGTCCTAAAGCATCATCTTACATTTAACAGGTGTGAAATGCATGTCAAAGCACGAAACCTTTGAAAGCAACCTAGGAAACTGAATTATCATCGTATAATTGACACAGCCGAGTTTTATGTATTATATATACTATATCAGCGCCAGTATTTCTAAGGGCATCAAAAAAGAGATGAAGGTAAACCGACTTTTTTACTAGTGAATTATAATTCAAATTGGTATTCCTCATGGACTGACATAAGTTGGAGAACCACTGAAAACCTGGGCGTACTGTACAGCTGTTTCATCGTGATACGGGACTCTTCAGCGGTGCACACCCACGACACCACCCAGCACATTATCATTGAGCCACTCAACCGGAACTCAGTGCGTCAGATTTTCCTAATTCTGTTAGTTCACTACACAGCATGACCTCCATCCAATGCGGTCATTGAGTAACAAACCGCACGTTCGACTTTGTTTGTCCCACTGGTCATTACTTCTGATTGGAACTGTTCAGTGCTCCCAGATTTTCAATGGTTTTCTAACTGTTGTCAGTTCATGATGAATATCAACATGAAATCAATAGATAAATCCACACAAACCTTCGGAATGAATGATAGTTCACTTGTAAAAATGGTAATATGAGGATCAGTCATTTGACAGAGTTCCGTTTGTTTTAACGAATCCTAATATCCTCCGCAACAACTTTTCAGGATATTATCTGTTTTTGAAATCAGTATGCAAGTGTGAATCACTTATTCAAACAAAACAAAAAAACTTAATGTAGCATTACAGATGATCTAAAATGGCCAAACAAACTAAGTAAGGATTTGTTCAGAAATTAGACTTAACAGAAAAAAAGATGCAACTGCAAACTCTTAACAACTACATTATTGGTTATAAGGATGGTGCTATATTTACCTTGTATTCATGAGTACATGTGTACCAACATTTCTCAGAAAACATATGTTCCTGAGGTGTTGTACTAGCTAATTAATCTAAGTATCAACAACCTCTAAATAACAATTGTCTTAGAGTAACCTACAGTAGGTAACTCAGTTTTACATTGTAATGAAAAAATTAGTAGAACAATGTGGCAAACAAAACCTTATGATGCAAATAGTTTTTAAAAAATACTATGAAGACTGACTGCTGGTGCATTTAAGGAGAGCATATAATTAATTTGTGTAGTCCTAAACAAATTGAAGAAATAATGTCAAGAGTCCACTACTAAGAAACAATAATTTGTGTGGTAATCACCCTCGAAAGTAATCAGAAATGAGTAGCTAATATATGTTGACTTTTAGACAACGATCCTCAGATCCCACCACTGAGAATCAGTCACCTCTTCAAAATCAGGAACAAGTGGAAAAAATGACAAGACGTTTATCGTCAAGCGGAAACATGTGCAAACTACAACAATGCACATGCTTAAATGACCTTGATTATCTCTACGCTTTTTGAGAAAGTCACCTCATATTGATTTTGTCTTATTGGCCCCTATGATACTTATACGTATTACTGTGTGACTTTTCAAGAGGACTCAAGATGATATGAAAAGCTGTGAACGGTAACACCGGATTTCGGACTTCGTTGTAGGATCCAGACGGTAATAGTGAACAGCATAACAAAAATTATGGTGATTTTATACCAATTAGTTCGGAGAAAATCAGTTCAGTTCTAGAAAAATGTTTTTACCAACCACTAGGAAATGGGATGATACTACACAGTATCAATCTCAGAAGTCCACAATTCATTTGTCAAAAGAAGAATACACCAATCCAATTTCAGCATACAGCTACAATCAATTTAGGAAGATACAAACTAACGATTTGATGCATTCTTAAAAGGCAAAAACAAAAGTAGTTGAAAATTTGTAGATGTAAATGGAGAAAAGTTGAACTACACCAAGTACAGAAAACAAATAAAAAATAAGAGAACCAGCAGCGAAATCCCCTTTCCATCAAAAATCGACTACGAATGTACATAATTTTAATGATACAGGATGTCCAAATTGATTCGTTCGTCAAAATAAAATATTTCTTAAATTCAGTATTTGATTTGGAATATTCTACGAAAGTAAGTAACGAATCGTACTGTACAAGATATAGGTCATCTTCAAATTAATTCAGAGGTGAAAATCTCAACTTTGAAGACGGTTGAATATCCACTAAACATGATGGGTAAGTCAACGCCTAAAAAGGCGTAACACTTATGAATATATAGGTAACTACACTAAATGATTTTATATTCAAAGTTGATCTAACTGCGTTGAAGGAAAAAAAGTTGATACAGGTGACTACATAAATAACTTCAGGGGAAATATCTCATAACATTAAATCACAACTAGCAATGGGTGACCACCTACTTCGGAATACGCTGGTCACCACACAAATGCGAATATTTGCTCCAGGACTGATCCGTGTTAGCACCCCTACTAGTCATAGGAAATGAAGTGGTTAAGAACGTTGACACACTCATTTAGTTGGAAAGTTGGATTAGTCTTAGTGGATCAGTAACCAATGAAATCTCAGCAAAAAAACAAGTTATAGTTATCGTTTATCAGCTTAAACGACTTGTGATGGCGTAAAATCCAATTGACTATTAGAGATTGAGTGAATTACACTATAGTTAATTTTGTTTTTACTATATGGCTGTGAAGCCTGACCACTAAAGCCAAGAGAATTATGGCGTCTTTGGGTATTTGATCGTCACCAACTTCGTATCATGTAATACGGAAACATTACATTGAAGACGTCGAGGTTAAAGTAAAAAAGGTAGTCCTAATAGGTCCGTAAACTTCCATCAGCTCAGATGTCTGAGACATGTATTATGCATGCATTGTCGCGATTTATCAGGTTGCAAAACGTTAGATGAAATAGATTTAAACTAGAAAAGTCGAAAGGCAGACAGATTAAAACATGGCATCAATCATTGACGCCTAAGATTGTTGGTCTGAGCTGTATAGAGAAACTAGACGTCCCAGTTGGGGTCTACGTGACAACCAAAATCGGTGGTTAGAAAATCTGGATGGTATGGCTCAGAATTGATCTCAGTGGCACAGATAGATCCATACATTATTGTCAAGCCGAACTTTCTCAACATTTTAACCTTTCTTCCTACGACTTTCTGCTTGTCTTGGCAAATTTTTTCCTTATTTTCGTATGTTTAATCTTAGTGTCTATTACCTTGGTGATTCAATCTGTTGTGTGGTAACTTGAACTGTCACGTAGTAGTATCAGGTCCGATATTTGTGCTAATTAACTAGATTGGAAATTGAGGCCCTAAAGTAATTAGTGCGAGCTGCAATATAGATTGTAATAACAATGATATTAATAATCGAACTTCTATATCAGTGAGGATTACAGGAAGTGATATGTCTCACAGTAGATGATGTAATGAAAAAGTATTTGCATAATCTCAAAAACCAGATTATTTATTTCATGAGTATACTAAACGGGAAAAGGTTTACATGAAAGACAGTATCCGAAAGAAATACCATGGAGTCATTGTATATGTACAAAATGTAGAGGAATTTATGAAAGTAATATGAATATTAGCTAGTAACAAGTCAATGATGATACAACTTCTGCTGAAAATATAAGATAAATATATAAATATAAAAAATATACAAAGTCATAATCAGTTCTTAGGTGCATTTATCTTCATGAATAAATACGCGCTTCAGTCTAACTTCCTTACGTTGCCAAAGATCAGCTGGAGAAAAAGCATTTTATTGTATATCACATAGAGGTGCAGCGATCTAAAATGAAAAAAAATAAAGAAGTTTTATCACTAGAGTAAATACCCATTCACATATGTGACGCAATCATTCTGCGAGTATATGTGTGATTAAATACGATATCCGTGTGTTTAGCTACCTATTAATGATGAATGACAGACAGGTAATCAACAATCAACTTCAAGGCAAAATGAATATAGGATGATCAATTTGCAAATGATTCATATATTGCGCAGTTCACGTTGCTATTCCTCACAGTTGAGTAGTTTTTCAACTTCCCAACTGCGGTGTCAACAAGTTTCCGCTGGAAGTTAACCAGTAGAAATCATAAGGTTTGATCTCTGACATAAAAGTGGCATGACCTAACAAAATATTCTACTGAACAACTTGAGTAGTTCACAACCAAACGGACATAGTTATAGAGGTAGTATTCATCATGGAATGACATCAGTTGGGGAACCACTGAAAATCTGGGAGCACTGGACAGCCGTTTCGTCCTAAGAACATAGTTATACCAATTTTTAACGTTTTTCACTTCGCACCTAAACACTACTTTATTACAAGAAAGTAGTCAAAATTCTCAGACGAAATTATGAAACAATTGCCACCCGATCGGTGTAAATAATGTTGACACAGTAGTGCAAGAAGGCCACGGTAAATATCAAAGGCCCTCAAGCAAATCTTGTTATTCTCGTATAATTTATTCAGAGTTAAATACTGAACTAAATATTTCTACTGTCGCCTACTTAATTCCTAATACTCGGTGTATTATGTAGTTTCTTATCGAAGGTGCGTAATAGCTACTATCATTTGCCTTTCTCCTTCAGCACTTATGTTTATTCTAAGTAATCCCCACATCTATCATAAACAATCTAGTCTAAGTTATAATCAAATCAGCATATAAATCATCTAGGTATTCAAAAACGTTCACAAATCCAGTTTCCTTACAATGTTGGATTCATACTTTATATAAAACCCACTTATAAAAAGTACGGCTACTTCACATTGTGATGTATATCAGAAATTCAGATAATTTTTGGCACTTATCAACAACCTAATTAGATTTTTCCAAAATAAAATACCTAGAGACAGCATTACATTGAGAATAATAGGAATAGATGGAAATTTTAGCTAAACACCAGTGTACAGTACAATAGACCTAATTAGGCAGTTTGATAATCAGGATAGACTGAAATATTTCTCTATGATTAGATGTAAAAAGGATGCATTGCACACTTTTAGGGCGGTCAGTATCGGGCATCATTAGTAGTGACATATATATATATATATATATATATATATATATATATATATATATATATATATAGTGACCCATAGTCTAGAACAAGAGCTACAATCAACGCAGAAATTTAGGAAAGTAAAACAATTTTTAAAAACTAAGTCGAATATGCGGATAGATAGTCAACAGCAACTGAACCACTAGATTCCGAACAACTGACTCAACATCAACACGCTGGTCACGGAACCTGAAGGTCCTGAGTTCGATCCCTGGCAGGGTTATGGGTGTACACTGTTGAAGAGTCCAATACTAGGACTAAAAAGCTGTTCAGAGCTCCCATGTTTCCAATGTTTCTCTAACTGATGTCAGTCCATGATGAATATCAACCTCAAACCAATGTTTTTTAAAACAATAGTTATGATGATGCAGAAAGATACAAGTTCTATAGATATAGATATAATTTACACCTACCTTGGGCTTGATTTTCATCGAACACTTCTTCACCGACTTGGAAGTCTGAGGCCATATCATTACTAATTATTTCATCGCCATCAGGAAGACTTGCCTTCAGTTTTTCCGCCTCATTCATTGCAAATTTTAACTAAGCGAGTGATTTTAGAAGAGAAAACAAGAAACTGAATCAAGTAAAAATGAGATATGAATAATAACAACTTTGATTCGATAGATAACCTAAAACAGTACACAATTTACGAATTATGCTTCAAAGTGATTGAAACTACATACACTACTGAAAAACTGCTGATTTGTAACTTTCACACATGCAGACGACTATATAAAATCTATGTGAATTTTGGGATTTTTAGGGGTTTTATTTTTAAGGTAGTACGGACCCACGACCCCCATGCCTAGGAGATAACCCACTGGTGGTATTGAGTGGTGACCACGTTATATCGCGAACTGAGAGAAGCAGGAAACTGTGGACCACTGAACTCCAATTCAGAAACTGAGTGGCTAACGCGTTTGCCATGAGACTTGGAGGTCCTGAATTCGACCTGTGGTGGTGGGGTGCGTGCTGCTGAGGTGTCCCATACTACGACACAATAGCTACCTAGTGCTCCCAGGTCTTTAATGATTCTCTAATTGATGTCAGTTCGTGATGAAAACCATCTTGAAACCAACACAAATCTTACCTGTTCGAGTAAAATATTTCGATTCTTGGCATTGGAATCATCTAGGATTAATAAAGATAAGAAGAACAGAGATGTATTGATATGAAACTAATTGAAGCAATGGTAATATTGAAGAAGAGTGAAGCAAAAAATATATATATGTGCTAGATTAAAATCCTCAATGATAAAAAATTCGGAATGAACTATTTAGATTGTACACAAATATAGTAACAAAACAGAAACTTCTTTAGTATGCTTGATGGCTAGCAGTAGAGTTCAATATACGTGTTCTGGGACTCGTCATTTGGATGTACATGCATCCCCGTGAGTGATTTTGCTCCTATTTGGACTCGAACCCACTAACCACCGATACAAACCCCAAAGTGTTATCCACTGGGCCGTTAGAGTACTACAGCCATCTCTTATGCAACGGATATCGACTGTTGTATATTGATACTTTTAATCTCCTGTTGCTATATTAGGCCGAATTGCTCGACCTCTGATCGACTGCTGTTACAACCAGATAAATAGTTTGAGTAAACATGAATTACTTCAGACATTTGTCGATTTCCATTTCCAAACTGTTATTTTCTACATGTGAACCGTGACAGTCATAGCAAGTCTGGATTAAACTAAATGGCTTTTTCTTAGAACATCAAGAAGCTTATAGTCACCATTATAATCCACAATACACTGTAGAAAAGTCATGAGGTTAAGTTCTTATTAAAGCTAATCAATAGAGTAGATTTACACACCATTGTTTATTGCAAGACTAGATAATTCCTTTTGATCTATCACTATCTCAAAAAACACTCCACCTGGGATTATGTGCAAAACTGACTTTTAAGAGATCAAAATTCACATAGCCATAATACAAGACTAACCAGCACAACCATAGTAAACAAAAATAAGACTTTTAAACATTCTTCAAAACTTATACAATTTTCATGGGTTAACCCTATTCACAAACGACAACAAAAGTAACCTAGACATGACGAAGTATTAGTCTGGTAGGTAATAAAGGAAGAAATGACGCAATATATTGACCATACATCAATATCACCAAATTATCACTCACAGTGGATTAAAATAAACTTTAAAGATCTTCCTTAAATAGGTGTTCGTATTTAATGAAGGTAAGAATACTCAAATTGAAGGTCAGCAACATAAGTGAAAGACTTTGGTTAGCAAGATTTTGTGACTCACAGATCAAGTCATCCAGACACTGACAACGTCGTACACTACAGATTGTAACTGGCATGGGACTTCAAATCTGTTTACAGATAATTGACAATTTTACTGACTGGATTTTCATAAAAACAGCTTTTATCTGATATATCAAATATATACAAAATATCATACAAATTGGCTTACTTTGAACTGCTTTTAAACATGAAGAGAATTCATTTTCGAAGTGTAATAACGCGTTAGTGTAACATCTTCTGGAAATCTTTAAAAAAATGCAAAGAAGAAAAACAAATTAAATTTACTTACGTTGTAGTATTCAGGTAGTATCAAGGCATCTGCCAATAGAGGTCAAGCAATACAACCCAGTATATCGACGGAGAATTATAAGTAACAATAAATAGACTTAACTGCAAGTTTTTGAGAAAATAATTATTTGACTTTAATGTCGAGAGAACGACGGATTAAAAGTGTTACATACCTGACCACTAACATAACTAAGTGGAATATACTCTAGCTCTAAGTGTTTCCTTAAAAATTCAAACAACAGGCTTCTATCAGAAGAACAAATGTATGAGTTATAAGGTATACTATTTATGAACCGTTCATTATCAGACGAGGTTTAGACTGACTTTAGCTACTTTGAGATGAAACCACAAGGATGCCAACACTATTCAAGGAAAGCCACATTATTGCAGGTACGCGTGTCTGTATGAGGCTATTAGCCAAAAATATGTGGAGGTTTTTTAAATTACCGGATTGTCCGGCTAAAATCAGCAGTAAAGACTTTGAACCCACGACTTATTGCTTGAAAGTCCAGTTGTTAAATCAATGACCCACATCTATACCATATTATCCATTACCACTTATGATGAAATTTAGAGGATGCAATGATCAACACCAAGTTTCTTACATCCTGCCGTTTGTAAAGACGATTCGTTAACTAACTAGCAATAGTTATATTCATCTTGGTGACTAGCAGTGGAATACGAAACGCGCGTTTCGTCCTATTTCGGACTCGTCAGTTGGATGTACGCATCTCCTAGTGAGTGTTGTTCTCACTAAGAAAAGAAACCCAGAACCGATCACCTCAAACGCCGGATCTCTGCCCACCAGGCCACTGAGTCACGGCAGCCGCTCCACGTGCGGTAGATAGAGGCCATCGGCATAGTGGCCTAGATTACAATAAAATACAAGCAATAAAATAAAAACTAAACCTGCTGCACATGAAGTGGCTGCCGTAAGTCAGTGGCCTAGTGGACAACGATCTGGCATTTGAAGTGATAAGTCCTCTGTTCGACTCTTAGTGAGTAAAATATCACTGACTAGTTGGTGGGTACATCCATCTGACAAGTCCCCAATAGGACGAAACGTCTGTCCTGTGTTCTACTAATAGCCACCAAGACGAGTATAACATCATGAATATCCAGTAGCATTGAGGCATCCGAATAGGAGCCCATCCGCCAACAGAGGTCGAGTAATTCACCCCTCTGTAGCAACGGGAAATTATAAGTATCAAAACAACACTAACTAGCAATAGCTTGAAAAAGATTTATTTGGTTTCCGACTTCTTACGTGAGAATGCTTTAGATGTAGAAATATGTAAACAGTTACATCAATACTATCACAATGCATTTAATAAACTGCTGTAAAAATGCGTTCGATAACCTCGCCTGGTTAACTAGTTTACTAGTTACTAGCCGGTCCTAAGCCCGGGTAAAGAGGGAAGGTTGGGCATAGGGCTAGCAACCCTACCCCGTAAAACAAATCTAACCGCTAAAGAAACTTCAAAGCACAAACAAAATATAAAAAATGAAAACAAACTTATTCCCCGCTGGAATCGGAGAGGCGAAATGACGCCAGTTGGTGAAAGCCTTCGGGAAGCCAATTGGCCGATGTGTCTCCGCTTCTCTCGATGAAAGCGAAAGTAAACGTGGGGACATGGAATGTCCGCACGATGTTTGAACCCAGTAAGGCAGCCCAGATTGCAAGGGAGATGAGAAGGTATAACATCGAAGTGCTTGGGATTTGCGAAAGCAGATGGAATGGGAGTGGACTCTCCAAACTGTCAACTGGAGAATCAATAATCTACTCCGGTCACCCAGACGCCAACCACGAGCACACTGAGTACTGGAGTGGCTATCATGATGTCCTCAAGAGCATCGAAGGCTCTCATGCAGTGGGAACCAATCTCCTCCAGGATCATGACAGCGAGATTCAACTCAAAAGGAAGAAAGGTCACAATCATACAATGTTATGCACCTACAAATAATGCAGAGCAAGAGAAAAAGGAGGATTTCTACAGACAACTTCAATCAACACTGGACAAGACGTCAGTTGGCGATATCAAAATTCTAATGGGTGGGGTGACATGAATGCCAAACTGGGAGGGGACAACACGGGAAGAGAACTAACCATGGGTCGAGAGGCACTAGGTGAAATGAATGAGAATGGAGAATTGTTTGCAGAATTCTGCGCATTCAACGATTTGGTGATTGGAGGCAGTGTGTTCAGGCACAAAGATATCCACAAAGCGACATGGATTTCACCAGATGGACACACTAAAAATCAAATCGACTTTATCTCAATCTCAAGAAAATGGAGACGCAGTCTACTTAACACAAGGTCAAGAAGAGGAGCAGATGTAGGTTCACACCTCTCACTATCTAGTGCAAGGAACCTTCCAAATCAAGTTAAAAGCCTTCAAGGAAGCTGGTGATAGACCTCAACCCAAGTACAACACTCGGAAACTGAAGGATGAAACTACAAAGGAGATCTTCAAGGCAGCCATCAAGACAAAATGGGAGACATCGAGCAACATCCCTGAAGAAACCTGTGTGGAAGAACACTGGAAGTCTTTGAAAGCTATGTGGAAAGAAACCTGCACAACAGTATTAGGAAGGAAGAAGAAAGAAGACAAGGAATGGATCTCGACGGATACCTGGAAGCTGATAGAGCAGGAGAGGAGGATGGTGAAGCAGAAGATAAACCAGTGCAAGGATGCTCAACGACAAGTGGAACTGAGCACAATGTATAAAACACTGGACAAAGAAGTGAAGAAGAGTGCACGCAAAGACAAAAGACACTTCTACGAAACACTGGCAAGTGAAGCAGAACAGGCTGCAGGTAAGAGAGACCTGACGACATTGTATCAAATAACCAGGTTGCTATCAGGGAATAGACCAACACAGATGAAACCAATAAAAGATGAAGAAGGAAATTTAATTACAAAAGAAGAGAAACAGAGGAAACGATGGGCCGACCACTTCAAGAAACTCTTGAATCGACCACCACCTGCACTTCGTCCAGAAATACCACCTGCAGCCGCTGAACTACAAGTGAACATTAATCCCCCAACGAAAATGGAAGTCCTGAACGCCATAAAGCTACTGAAATGCGGGAAAGCAGCAGGACCAGATGGAATACCGCCAGAAGCACTGAAAACAGATGCAGAGACAACAGCGGCCATGCTCACACCACTATTGCAGAAGGTGTGGAAGGAAGAGAAGGTACCTGACGATTGGAAGAAGGGTTACCTTGTCAAACTGCCGAAGAAGGGAGACCTCAGTGCTTGCAAGAACTGGCGCGGAATCACTCTCCTGTCCACCCCAAGTAAAATATTAAGCCGCATCATCCTGGAGAGGCTAAGGGATGCACTGGATTCAAAACTACGACCGGAACAGGCAGGCTTCAGGAAGTACAAATCATGTGCTGACCAAATTGCAACGCACACTACGCATCATCATAGAACAGAGCATAGAATGGCAATCACCTCTCCACCTCAACTTCATCGACTTTGAGAAGGCTTTGACAGCGTCGACCGAGAAGTAATTTGGAAACTGCTTCAATACTACGGAGTACCACTAACCTTTATCAGCCTCATTCAACAACTATATGAAGATGCTACATGCCAAGTAATCCACAATGGGAAGCTCAGTGATGCCTTTGAAGTGAAGACAGGAGTGAAACAAGGTTGCCTACTATCCCCCATGATATTCTTGATTGTGGTGGACTGGATCATGCAGCAAACAGTAGGCAGCGAGAAGAGGGGGATACACTGGACGACGGAAAAGAACCTAGAAGACTTGGATTTCGCCGATGACTTATGCCTAATGTCACATAAACTTGAAGATCTGCAGGCAAAAACTAACAAGTTGATAGAAGAGGCAGGCAGCGAAGACGGGACTTCAGGTGAATATAGAGAAGACAGAAGTGATGAAGATACCGCACCACCACCATCAACAACAACAACAACAAACTCCAATCACCATCAACGGGAGAAACTTAAAGGAAGTAACCTCCTTCACTTATCTAGGAAGCACTGTTTCAACTACAGGCGGGACGGACGAGGACGTCAAAGTCAGAATCGGAAAAGCAAGGCAGGCATTCATTAGCCTGAAACCAGTGTGGAGATCTTCTGCACTCAGCATGCGGAACAAGATACGGATTTTCAACACCAACGTCAAGTCAGTGCTCTTGTATGGCTCAGAGACTTGGCGCGTCACGAAAGGTATTTCCAATAAACTACAGACATTCATCAACAACTGCTTACGCTCGCTGCTGAAGATCAGATGGCCAGAAAAAATAAGCAACAAGGAACTCTGGGAACGAACCAACCAAGAACCTATCACGCAACAAATATGCAGGAAGAAGTGGAGATGGATTGGCCATGCACTGAGAAGGCCGACTGAGGACATCACGCGTCAGGCCAGTCACTCGAGTGGAATCCCCATGGGAAGCGACGGGTTGGACGTCCGAGGGTGACATGGAGAAGATCGTGCGAGGAGGAAATGAGAGGTTGTGGGCTGTCGTGGGACCAGGTTCAAAAGATCTCAGAGAACAGAGGTCACTGGAGACGTGCTACTGAAGCCCTATGTTCCACTAGGAACCCAAGGGACTAATAATAATAATAAAAATGCGTTCGATAACAACAACATACGAAATAAGTCCAGTTGTGAGCAAAATCTTCAGTCCTACAATATTGGTAACTCATTAAATGGTTAGGATATTCTACTCTCGAATTTCCAGGAGATAAAAACAGTCTTTGTGACCAACAAAATGTGTGTATAGCGTGCAGGTTCAAAACTTAAAGTTTTCACGTAATGTGACATTTGCGAGTTCGCTGATTCCAAAGCAGATTAAATCAGCAGTAAATACAGTTGTTTCTCTTCGGAGCATACAATTCAGGTTTTATGATCTAAACTGTGTGCTAAACAGGAATGATTCAATATCTAATCCGGAAATTTGATAAATTCTACTGCTCATACCACAAGGGAAGGCGAACAAACAACTAGAAAAAAGATGTCCAAGTTGCAAAGGAATCTCTGGTGCAACTTTGAAAAATAATTATTAGAAACATAATCCAGAACACAATAGCATATAACCGTGTGCTACACCAAGCAAACTAACCCAATATGGAATTAAACCCTATCAAAGTACCCAGATTCTATGCTTATATTAATATTTCCAGGACTGATAGACAATGAGGTAAGCAACAGTCCCTTATATGAGGAGTTATACCATCATAGGTTGTCTTCGAGAAAAGATACTACAGGGTGTCCAGTCCGGAACGGGTGGTTATCTTAAGAGACAGCTTTCTGAGCCTCTAACTCACAATACAGTGGAACAACGTAAAGTGATGTATTCTTAGAGTTGCTGGTGACCAAAGTAGGCTAGAACACCGTTCGTCCATCCTGGATCCTGCAGTCCATGAACACTGTTGTTTGGGAATTAGGGGTTCTCAACTCTCTTGGGTGAACTAACTGTAACCACCAATCCGATTTCGATCTCACATTTGTGGAAACATTCTGCCACGTAGAGTGAGTGGGTAGAGGCTATGAACACATGGTAGTATGAAAGCATTTCCAAAGATTTAGACGGGACATCCCACCCTCTCAGTCATAATTGTCCATTCCGATAGTCACTATGACAGTAACCATCTTTAGCCTTACCATTACTACCTAACAGACTTTTCTGGCATGCTAGGACCTCAAGTAACAGTTGTTCCAGTCAGCGATATGTAAGTGCAACCACCACGTCAAGGTCACAGATGTCGGTCGGTAGTCCCTAAAGCCACTAATCCATGTTCCAGTTGCTTAAATATGTCACGTTGTCCAGTGGGCGCAATGATATTAGAGTAACTAAATATTTCATCATACACTTACTAAGTGGTAACCAGAGTGATTAACTTAACTATATGATATTCTTTGCAATTAGTAGTCTTTAAAACACTTTTATAGATTCTTCTAAACTTAAGTAATCGGTTCTTGTGATTAACCCAATGAAAGTACACTTGATAATATCAAAAGTTTAGTAAGAATTCAAGCTAGTGCTGGTCAACAATGATATAACTACGCTGAACCAACAACTGAAGTGACATAAAAGATAGTTAGATCAATGTTTCTCTGTACATCCAAAAGGCATTTAGTACAAATGAGGCTGACTATTATACTGTTATTTACTACTTCAACAGATATTCATTAAATGATACTTACATACCCACATGTTGTATTCAGCTGTTTTTACTTTTCAACTGAAAACAAATACACAGTGACTATTTTTTTTAGTGAAATACTTGAAACACATTTGAAATATAATAGACAAGTACATCAGATCCAATTGTTGGATGGAAGCAGTTCGTAAATTTTACATACTACATTACACAAATTTTACTCAAAATGTATAACCAGAAGGTAAGCAGTAAACAATTACCCAAATATTGTATACGTACGAGTTTATAAAACTTGACCAGAAAGTCAACCACATATTTGTTACAACCATCTGATGAAAGTAGGTAAAAAAAGAAACAGTTAAACACAATAAATGCACGTAATGAAATGCTTTCCTATCAAAAAAGGTTATAGAGTTTTGATGTCAATGATGAATTATGTTCCATAAAATGATTAATAACCTCAAACTACATTTATAGTTTGTAATATGTTTACGGATTCTTTGTTCTCATTGAAAAGTTAGTTTTTTCGCGGAAAAATAAAACCTAATTGGTTATTTCAGTAGTTAATATAGAGATATTTAAAGCCACTCAAGATATCCAAAGGTTATGAAGCATTTTAGGGGACTTCAGTTACACAGACAATGATTAACAAACACTTAGTAGATGAGAAAATGTTCTTTATAAGCATACATACAACTTGAAAATACTTCACTCATTTTTACGTAGATGCTAATGAAATCACTTAGTTTAGTGATGAAACATCAAAAAATCCCTCAAAGCTCGAAGAACTCCGAAAAATTGTCAAACTTTATAGCTTCATATAAACTTTGATCATAAACGAACGATATTTATTAAAAAATAAATTTAAGTAAACCAATCAGCATCATTGTCCATTTTATGACATTCAACTGTAAGCGCATTATTATGAAGTGCAGCCCGAAATGTAGAAATGAGTCTATGGATGTTTAGTTGATGGAGGTTCTCATGACAGATAAACTTCAATTACACAGGACTTAATTATGAAACTCTACAGACTACCATACTTTAAGTGGGGAAAAAGCACAAAAAATGACGATCTCAAAAATGAAATAAGAACAAGATTTTTAACATGATGAAGACAACGCGTCGGAGACAGATATACCCTTGCGACCAATTCCGAGTTATATGGTCTAAAATCTTTAAAGATAAACTTCAGTTGTCTTGTATTCTCTATCCAGAAAGTGCAAAATGCAATTAAGGTAACATAAAACCACAATCGTTACAAGACCTTCAGTAGCGTGATGTATTCGAAAAGGAGTGATTCTAAAGGCCACCGTAACAACTAGAAGTAACCAATGAAAGTTCTGTAGTTTATGCAACAACTACTTTCCTAGTTAAAATAAAGAGACCTGATTGGTTATTTTGGCTGTTGTTAGGAGTCTTTTAAGTCATTCCAAAAATTTGGCTACTGTGGTGCATTGTAAGCAAGTCCATTTTGCAGGATACCATAGTGATCAAAAATCAGGGTAATACACCACACAGACCTCAAAACTACCTAGTTGCCGAAGTTTCATCATTCCTCAGCGTCGGGAAAGCGTCCACTGATTACAAAGCACATACTTTAAACAGTGTATATTAGTATCCTCAATTTTCTATGTAATGTATTATACAAGAGTTTTATCTTAGAGTCAAATAAACCGAAATAATTTAGATTACGTACTAGAAGTGCTGGCTGCAAAATATGTGGCTCAAAGGGTAACTCTAAAGGTCATTTCAATAACTAATAAAAGAGACAATAAGGTTTCTATATTTCCTACGAAAACTACCATCCCAACTGAAACAAACATACCATGTTAGTTATAGTAGCTGCTACAGTAGCTACCAGAGTGAGTCAGCTCCTTGGGTCACAACGATTCTTACTCACACCTCAAAATCTGGATACCAGAAGTCTAATTGGTTATCTCAGCACCTGTTAGGAGGTTCTTTAAAGTCAATCTGATACGTCTTCACCACACGTATGAGTCATCAATTAAAAACAACACGACACTACGCACTCACAACCCTTTAACCAACTTTTTTTCTCCGCTCCCTCCTCCCCGTCTTCCATCGCACAGCTAGAATCTCATGCTCACAATTCCTCTTCTTATCCAAGATACAATGAAGGACATACACAACTAAACTATACTCCACATCGGAACATAATTGCCGAAAACTAAGTTGCTCATTTTGAGCAGAAAACGGAACAAATCACAATAACTGAATCCACGAAACAAGCGGTCATTTCGGAACCATAGATAGTACGGAAATAGTGTTGAGGCGCTATAAAAACTTCTTGAGTTGGGCTATGCAATAATACTGTCCCAAGTAAACCGTATTTCACAAATAAAAGAATACATCTTATCATCCTCTATCTTCTTTGATCCATTGTAACAGATTTCAGTTCTCTCCTTCAGAGGGAAGCGATAAAAACAAGAGGGAATTATTTTTGACTGCCCCTACTTAGCAATCACATAATTCAACCAATAGACTCTAAAGGCTATTCTAGCAACTACTGGAAATAACCGATTGGGTTTATTTGTTCATGAAAAACTATTGTTCCATCCGCAATGACAAAAAGCTACTGGTTGTTTTGGCAGTTGCTAGGATTGCCTTTACGATTCAGCCTATTTTTAACCAGCACTTTCCAATACTTATATGATTACTTCCAAGACGATCCAAGTTGCTATGACTTTCATAGAGTTTTAAATCGCATGTTGATATTCGAAGAGGGTCGTAACTGAAAAATCTGTGAATAAAAGACAAAAGTAGGACAGTCAAACTATTCTTCGAAATGCGTTGATCATTGTCACTAATCCCTCCCAGATAAATGGATCAATAACTGATTTTCACTAATAAAAGTCTCACGAATCCCTGGTTTTGTCACCTCGATTCCGTAACAAAGTTCACACAACTCAGTGCTACTCTATTTGACTTCATTTCTTCGGCTTTCCGTATCCACTAGTACTCCCCACTCTTGTGTAGAACTTTATTCAGTTAACAAGTAATCCGTCTTCGGCCTTTTACTGTGAGGAATCAACTGTGTTGAGCTCTTGTGCATTCATCCAATCAGTTATCTAGAATGTTAACGACAAATACTGTAAAGGAAAAGACATATGTGAGCTTAGATAATCAGTCAGTAAAGCTACTCGATCTCAAGGAAAATGAAACTTAATTAGTTGATGTAAACTAATATTCTTTACAACACTGAAACCTATACAAAGACACAGCATTTCAGAAAGGCTACTATAATTATCCACACTTCCATCAGACAAGAGATAAAAAACTGGATTCAAGGTTATCTGTGATACGAAAAACCTCAATTGAGTGTGAAGATGCTTATAAAAAAGCCTAGACTGTGAGTGAAATTTCAATAAAGTCAATAATCACTGCAATAATTCCAAGTAAATCAAAGAGTACCATACAGATAACGTCATTGCATTCCTAGTGCAATCAATACTATGCACTTCTGAATGTCCACCACACAAGACTTAAAGGATGACTAAAAATATTACCATAGCAACCGAAACGATCAATTAGACTACCTTATTTTACGAAAATTCGCTTTTATAGGCGAAAGAAACGATGTAATTGATTATTTAAATCGTTGCGAGGGTGGACACACAGTCGCTTTTTTCATCATCATCATTACCAACGTAGGACCAGGCATTACTGCGTAACGGTCCGAGTTGCCACACCTCATATCAGCACATCAAGTAAAAAGGTAGTGAGGTGAAGGATGAAGATAAGTGAATGCAGTCAAAAGAAATATAAAGTACGAGAAGAAAGGAAAGAGGAGTGACAAAATAGTGAGATTCGGTATAGCGTTGTTAAGATGAGGATAATGTGTGTATACATCTGCGCCACTGACTTCGGTTCTGAGCCATATCACCTAGGGTCTCCAACCACTGGTTCCTCTTGTCCCGTGGACCCCAACCACCTAGTCTGCATCGTCCTACATGGCTTAAACCAACAGTCAGAGACTTCATACATTGGTGCCATGTTTTAGTCTGGCCACCTCGGGCCTTTTTCCAGCCTGAACCCACCTCAGCCAACATTGTGTGACGAGGCAATCGGTGACTAGGCATACGTAGTACGTGTCCCAACCATCTCAGTCGATGAAGGTTCACAACCTCGTCGACTGACTTACCTCTTCTCCCTAAAACTCTACACCTAACTTCTGCATTACTCACATGGTGACACCACGGAATACGTCCTATACTACGAAGGCAACGGTGGTCAAACACCTGAAGCCTTTTTGTATCCTCCACTTTCAATGGCCATGTTTCACAGCCATACAGTAGAACAGAGCGGACTGCTGTGCAGTACACGCGACCCTTAATAGACAAACGAATATCACGGCGGCGCCATAGGTGGCGCAAATTGGCAAAAGCCAATCGAGCCTTTTGTATCCGTGCAGAAATCTCATCGGCAACTAACCCACCAGGGTTGATCCTACTTCCCAGGTAAGTGAAGTGGTCAACACACTCAACCACTTCACTCTCTATTGTTAACCGCGGTACCGCTGAAGACCAGTCCTGGAGCAAAAATTTGCATTTGGGTGGTGAAAATCGCATCCCAAACATTCTCAAATTCCCACTCAAAGTGTTCAGAAGACTCTGCATCTTGTCAGCGTCTTCACCTAACAGGACTATGTCATCTGCATATTCTAGATCTAAGGAAAATTCACCTGTGATCCGGTCAACGTCTTTGTAATTAGGTGACGAGAGGGAAACCTCCATAAGAATATCTATGATAAAATTAAATAAGAATGGGGATAGTGGGCATCCTTGACGGACACCACTTGATGAGTATAGCTCCCTGGACAACTCACCATAGGCTCTAACATGCCCACAAGTGTTCGAGTAGAGAGCTTTCAATAAGGTGATGTACTTACTAGGCACGCCTTTCAGTGACAGACACTGCCATAAGACTTCTCGATCAACGGAGTCAAATGCCGCCTTCAGGTCGAGAAATACAGCTATTGTCGGGCGTCTGTAAGCATGCCTATGTTCCAGGACCTGGCGCAGTGTGAATATTTGGTCGATACATCCACGGCCAGGTCTAAAGCCTGCCTGGTTTTCTCGGGCTTGCTGTTCCCGAGCTCCACTCAGGCGTCGGAGAATTATAGAACTTAGGATCTTAGACACTATGTTTGTCAGGCTGATTCCTCTGTGGTTATCACAAGAGGACTTCTCGCCTTTCTTGAAGACTGGGATGATCAGTGACTTAGACCAGTCGGAGGGGATCGTATTTGATTCCCATATACTGGCTAACACTTCCGTTAGCCTGACTAAGAGAACTCTACCACCATTCTTGTATACCTCAGCAGGTAGTCCGTCTGGTCCTGCTGCCCTTCCCCGTTTCAGGCTACCTACCGCTTTCTCGACTTCTTCTAGTGTTGGGGGACCTGTCTCTATGTCCCATTCAGGGTCCGACTGGATAGCGGGCAGCGCAATCGTGGCTGGAGGCCAGTTAAACTGTTCCTCAAAGTGTTCTGCCCATCGTCCCAGTCGCCTTCCCTGCGAGTGAATCGCAGATCCGTCCTTCTCCGCTATAACCTCACTAACTGTTGTTGACCATTTCCCCCCAGTCTCCTTAATAAGTCTAAATAACTGTCGCTTTTTTGATATCAAGCGTTAGCAGTGACTTTGAAGGCCACCCTAGCAACTGACAAGACAGCCAATTACATGCCTTTACTTCGTGGAAAAGTACATTTCCAGGCGAAATACAAAAACCTAATTGGCCATTACAGTTGTTGCTAGGGTGGTCTTTAAAAGTTACTCAGAAATTTTGTGAAGAACTACCTTTCTGGCCGGAATACAACTGTTGCCAGGGTGGCGTTTAAAGTTTTCCATCATCATGGCTTGAAACGTTCAAATGATATAAAAAAGAAGTAACTTGACGATCACCCTAGCAACAACTGAAATAACGAATTACTTTTCTACTTTATGAAAATTTGCCTTTCAAACCAAAATAAAGACACCTAATTGATTATTTTCATGTTTGCTAGAGCCGCCTTTAGAGTCCATTCGATCAAGTTATTTGATACACCCTATTACTTAGAGCTTCTTTTCAAAGACATTAAAGGCATGGGAATGATCTTCGGAAAATAAAACCAACTGTGAATCATTTGTATAGACATGACAAGTCACAAAACTAATGGGATTTCGTACGTCTTGTTTCAATTTAAATATAAAATTTAATGATAATTAAATAACCATTGGGTAAAGAAAATATTTGAAAGAACACTGGTGCTCAAAAGACTTCATGCAATTAGTATGTTCCATTGGTAGATAAAGTCTCAGGGAATGCGGAGAAGTTCAATACAATATACCAAGGCTTGAAAATCAAAGTATAGTTTATGATAACTGTAGAATATGAGGAAAAAATAATATTAAGGTTATAACTTAACAGAACACATTTTTTGGAATATGTTAACCCTCATCGATTGAAATGGCTTGGACATGTACTGCGCACGCCGAGCCACTGCCTACCTCGAAATGCCATGCTAGGAGAAGTTAGATATGGTTGGAAGAGGGTTCAGGGTTGCAAGACCAAGACGTGACATCAGTTGGTGTAGTCTCTTACTGTTGGTCTGAGTCATGTGGGGGTGATGTAGACTGTCTGTCTGGGGTTCCCAAGACGAAAGGAATCAGTGGTTGAGGACTCTTGGAGACGCGGCTGAAAATTGGTCACAACGGCGCAGATGCCTTCGAAAGCTTGAATATTTACAGTAACCCTTATCTTCAAATTGGTTATTGTCAGACAACCTTGTCTATTTTGATATTATTCTTTTTCTGTCTACCTGTTCTTTGTATACTACTGTGAAGTGTGGTAACTTGAGCCAATGCGCTTGTGTATGAGGTTCTACGTTGACTTAGTCAGTCAATCACTTTTATGCAAAGTTTCATCCGATATTTATCTATGAAAAAATACCTACAACTTATTTCGACACATAGATAGCAACAAATTGAGTCAATGGATAATTTTCTTTTCAAATCTTCCTTCGAAGTTTGTTGTTTTCTAGAATCTAAAATTTGTCTACAATAGTTTCTATCCGTAAAAAAATTACACATCTACCTCGGAACATTTATGCCCCGTAGTCTGCTCAATGAACTACGTTGTACATGTACATACACAAGCTTGCAGTAGTCGTACTACCTGAAGAAAATAAAGTCAAACATATCAGTAGGGTTTAAGAAGTCAGTAATAACCTTATTTAATTCTTGTGAACATGTAACAAATCAGCATAGAGGAAGACTGTGAGATATGATTCAACTGAATACTCCAAACATGTACAACCAGGATTCAGAATACAAAGGCTCCATTGGAATGTTTGAAGCAGTTAATAAAAACCATCTGAATACTTTCCGCAAGTACACATGAAGAACGACATTTTAACCTGAAATATCTGGTAATCTATGAGCAAGGAATAAACTAAACCAGAAATTTTTAAAAAAGGTACGTGAGGACAGAAAAATAGAAACTCGATAATCACCCAGTTCTAAAAGTCGAGTACGATCGAACTTTTGAATTATGTCATCTGGTATTTCCATTGAATTAACTTCTAGTCCAGATTCTGATTGTAAAATTTCAGGTTCCGAAGGATTTGAACAACCAACCTGTTCATTGGGTCTGACGGTTGGTTCGATTGTTGAAGAATTAACTGACCGATTGGAAAATACACTTTCATTCGTCCGTTGCACCACTAAGGTATCTGATCCAGATGATGAAGAATTCTGGGGTGGACTAGATGATGAGTGAGGTAGAGGAACAGAGTCATTGACTTCTGATGCCAACTGTGAAGAATGTACAGGATTCACGTCCACCAATACAGCGGTAGGTACAGGATCTAATTTGTACGCATACAAATTCATGGAAGTAATGAAGTTCAAATAGGAATTGTTATTTAGTGACAATTACAACGCATGGAAAAATAAAAGTAAGTAAAGGTAAATTAGAGAAGAAAATTTCCTTCTCGACGAATTAATTTACGGGAGACGTACACTCGTATTTATAAATATTGGAAACAAATAACAAACTACTATTTGTCAGGCGAGTTAGTGCAACCACTGTGATGACTGGAAGTAGAATGAAAAGATGATTCAAAAGAAAGAAAGAAAGAAATTACCTAGTGATGCATTATTAATGAGACCATGATAGAAGATTCAACTTACTTCTTCTGCATATACGAACCTGGCTTGAATTGATGAATTGCCAGCAGCTTCGCTGTACATAAGATGCAAAATCGTACACCTTTTGAACCAGTGAATTTGACTTTGTAAATAATGTCTAAGGTAGACTGTTGTGGAGCTCTAAGTGGCTGGAAGTGACTAGGTGATCAAGAATTGAACAAGTGATTGACTTGCATCCTCCTCTCTACAGCTATATAGGATTATGCTCGAATATGTGTTTATTTCATATGCGCTTTGCAAACAAATTGAGGTGGTTCAAAGCGGAAGCTTATCCTTAGCACATGACTGGTGAAGGTAGTCTGTAGTTAGACAATATTTATAAATACAGTTATAGGGCTTTAGTAAGTGAGTTCGCCAAAAATATATTTCTTCATTGGTTTGAATTTTCTCTTCTTTATTAATTAATCGGAAACTTTCATCGCTCAAAGTTAAGCAATGATCCTGTGACAGTGAGAAAGTTCGACAGGTTTCTAAAATATTGTGTGAAACGAGTCGCAGCAAACACGATGAGTTCGCTTAAAATCTATTTCGACAAATGAGAATATCCGAAGCCACACTGAAATAGTCTACGTCGAAATTATATTCATCCAAATCACAGTTATCTGAAGCGTCATACGATAAATACAATCGACAAGAAACCCACAGCACCGAAATTGGAACGTTGAAGTCTAACATTCTATTCGGATTGACTAAAGATGAGTGTAACCTTTATCGACTACATCAAAACAGTACCGAAAGGATGATCAGTAGATATTGGTCTTAAGATGATGAAAAGTTTGCAGAGATGTCTTCGCATCTACCAGAGACGCCAGAGATGTGTTCCAGTATACTAATGTTACTAGGACTTTCTTTTCAAACGCAACCATTATCGTTCGTCCCACAGTTTTTGATGTTTCAATAACCTCTTCAGAGCTCAACACAGAAGCTCAATTTGAAAAACTAATCGATCACACAACCAATCCCTCGTCAACGCCAAACAAGTTTTGAACAATCCAAACCAAGAGTCCTGAACTGTTGCAATTAATATGATAATACAAAAACATTCGAAACAGCATCAAAGACAACTGCTTAAAATTTTGAAAAATAAACATTTACTGCAGGTCCATCATGACGAGGGCGCGGGTATTGCTCTCATAGATGGTGTGAACTATGTTGCGAAAACGCTGGCCATCATACCAGACAAACGGAATTTTTCAAAAGGGACTACTCTAAAAGATGCGACCCAACAAAGTAAACAGAAGTTTACTCAGATTTGAAGGTGAAGAATCAGTCAGTCATCGGTGCTGAGAAACTACGATCGTCTGGTTCTATCGTTCCTGGCTTATATGTTCCGCTGAAAGTAAACAAAGGGAATGTTCCACAACGTTCAATTCAGGATACGAACAACTCATCATACCATGCGGTCACTAAGTCCCTCTCCGATATCTTCCAGGTAATAAGCACCCAAATACTCATAACCTATTGGGTTCCTTTGATTTCGGTGACTCGATAAATAATGTCGCCATATCCGATAAGTAAATGATTTCTCTTTATATGACTTCTCTCTTTACGAATGGACACTTACAGAAACAATCTATCTTGTATGTGACTGCATCAAAAGTGATAATTTTGAAGTCAATACACCACAATGTCATTTAAATGAACTGTCTAGAGATGGATGGTGTGGCAGTGTGGTTATCATTGACTGATTGCTTTATGGCAAACTTGGAGAAGACTGTTTTGAACTCGCCAACTGGCTCTTTTCACTTATATATGTGACTTAAGCGAGACGAAAATATGGATTTTGAGGCTGTGGTTGACAAGTTTAATGACTGTCATCATTTCATCGGCTTCATTTTCATTCCCTCAATGTTCTGTTAAGAAGCAGGTAAGATAATTCGCCTCGAAGATAAATCTGTTGAAAGCCAACATGGACTGAACAGTACACAAATCTCTATAGCTGGACCCCATCGGCCAGAAACAGCAATCTAATACATTCATTAACCTCGAAAATCACAAGGATCTGCACAAATGATACTACCAGTGATTGTTAATTTCAAAAGAGCTACTGTTAAACCCTAACCAAAGTAACGTGCAAAATCATGTGGTACAGTAAATAACGATTATAGCCAAAAGAACGATAATCGCAACCTTAAACTGTAACATTAAGTGATTTCCATTTGATACACAGTAGGAAAAACATTTTTATATCAGGTTTCATAAACCTCTACCTACTGCCTATTGTCCAGTCAAAATTGACGACGAAACATACCATCCGATTGGTAGCGCCAAACTTGAAAGTAACATAAGAATCTATGAAGGGTTACCTAACTTTACTCATGAAAAACAAAGGTTGTAACTGAAACTGAATCCATATTTATGGAACGTTTTAGTCTCATCGCGTTTGTCATTGAAATCTGTCAAATAGGCCTTGAAGGAGTATAAAATGCAAACGAACACGCATTACGTTGTGTGTGGTTTACATCTACAGAGAGACTGGAAATCTTATACAAAGCTTTGTGCTGGGAGATCAGTGAACACTGATCCCTAGATGGTGTACGGACATGAATGCGTACTGTTGAGGAGTCCCATACTAGGACAAAACAGCTATCCAGTGAGACCACGTTTTCAATGGTTCTCTAACTGATGTCAGTCCATGATGAATACTACCTCAAAATCCAAATCCCCATTAACCTCAAAATACATTGCTGTATAGTGTTCATTAGTGATATGCTTCTAGATGGATATCACGAAGTTCTAGTGTGAAGTCGTGACCTATACGGTCAACTAATCGGAAAGGAACCAGATGGCATCTGAAGACGTTGGGTGACAGTCGCGCAATGTCGTGAATTGACAGAAGTTGGAAACTGTGAGTCATTGGACTCTGACCCAGTGGCTGATTGGTTAACGCGTTCGCCGTGAAACCCGAAGGTTCTGAGTCCGACCCCTTATCGGGTCGTAGGTGTATACTGCTCAGGAGTCTCATACTGGAATGAGACACCTGTTCAGTGCTACCAGGTTTTCAATGATTCTCCAACTGGTGTTAGTCCGCGTTGAATACTATGTCAAAATGTTAGATCTGTTTTGATCATTCCCGAAATGTTCTAGTCCGGCGTTTGCGTTCGCAAAGTTTGTAGGCGGCTTTCGGAAAATCACTCAATGGCTGTAGACTCAAAATCATCCCTATAAGTCTCCACTTTATAATAAACGCTCTTGAACTAGGAAGTTAGGAGACGGTGATTTAGACAGCTTAAGGTCATCACTAATAACTGGTACGGTTACGATTAGTGTAATTGGCTTCATTTACGAACACTATAACAGATGGCTCAATATGCACCATCTACTCTCTGCTCGGTGTAATCTGACGAATATGTAAATTTCTTCCTGCAAATACATTTTTTGGGTAGTTATGAAAAGCCGCAAAAGCAAATATTCTGTCAGAGTGGACCAGCAATCTACTCTGTCACTGAGGATAAAGATATGAAGTACTTTTTCTGCACTACAGCGGACCAGCTGAAGTTTCCTAGCAATTTTTTCTATCTTGTAGGTTTTGATGGAGCTTACAAGAAGAATAATAAAGACCTCTTCTTTAAAAGGCTATAGCCATCGATACAAGGTTCAAGACTATCCCCATTGGGGCAATATATGCAATCGAATGGAAGGAAAAGGGGAATGGTGTACGCAATCGATCACTGTAAAAATTTCCCGAGAGAGGTACTTTAGATTTACAGTCCCAATGCCTGTGTCCATTTCACTTTTACACTTGAAATTAAGAAACATGACAGCGTCACGAAAGTTTCGGTTCAAAAAAGGAAGGGAACAAACAAACAATCCTTTTCAGGGCCCCCATAAATATGATTTAAATCAATTATTCAGTTTTTTAAGTTAAACTAAATTTTTTTCGCATCAGTTCCAACAGAACTTTTTTCTAGCCCTCGAAGTAACGTTGTAAAATCTGTCGGATCCCTCTGAAGTCAGTATTTGACGGGAGACAAATCTATGACCTCGTAAATTATAAATAACAAACCAGCATATCACTTCTTTTTATTTAACCGCTGATGTAAATTTGTAGAAATTGTGTAAGATAGTGTATCACGTGAACCGATTCCGTTCCGACTACACCTGAACTTCAGATAGTAACTAATGGATGGTGTTATCCCAGTCCGAACACGTCACGTTTCACGTTGAATGCATCTGTGACAATATTTAATACAGGGGTAATGAATATATGGGTGTACTGTTCGTTGTCGTTAAACGTATATATGAAAAGAAATGTTCAGCCATTGGTAATATGCAATAGTCTTTGAAGAAGACTTACTAATCTTCATAAATAAATATTTTCATTTATGCCGAATGTCCTTAAGAAAATGTGTGGCTTATTCAACGAGATGTTCAAAAGAACATTGTTTTCAATTTCGAAACCCCCGATTATACTGCAGTTTATCTTCACAACGATCATATTTAACCTAATGCCCAAATTCTTCTAGAACATTTTATGATAAGTATGGTCTGCAGATGTATAACACAACTGCATAGAATGTTCATTAAATGTCAGTAATATGACTTAGTGTAATACACCTAGGCAGGCATTCATGCTGACGTACACTCCTCATGGAGCAAAAATATTCCTCTCGTGCAAGTTAGACAGTCAAGTGAGACTGCCAACGAATGTGATATAGACAAATAAACCATTATGCGAAACATAGTAACTGTTATTAGCACTACAGATTGAAACATCCGTCAAGACATTTTTTGTGTATTATTTAATATGACATGGAGACAAAACTGATATTTAGCTACAGCTTGATTTTTCAAGCTAATGAATAACAAGTTAATAACACTCACTGCTGCTATCTATATATCATGTGATCAATAAGACGCTGACTATCACTTATATGAGCAATACTTGTCGTTGGTACATATCAATTCAGAGGTGCTGGTCCGAGCATATCAATCTTTCAATTACTTACAAGCACTGTGTGATGAACTCAGACAATAATGTTCAGTTTTGATAAATTCACAACAAAATAGTTCCTGATGAACTTAGAATATTCGTTAATAGTATGTTTATGGTAGTCTTGTCAAATTTATGAAAAGGGTTAAATTATAAGGTTATTCAATGCAGTAGGCTTAGACACTAAAAATTAAATCCGTTCCCTAAATCTTGTGGAAATCGAGGAGAGTTAAAAGGCAACTTATACCTCTTTTAAAATGGCATTAGTTCCTGGCGAAGCAACCGTAGTAGCAGTGTCATATCTTGTAACACGTCTTATGTTATTCAAATAATGACAAATTTATGTCAACTGGCTAATTAATTATAGTCTTTATGTTATAATTTGGTTGGTGATGGTTTGCAATGCAATGTAGAAAAAAGATTAGAGGTATCAAAAAGTAATTATATTGATAGTTTAGATATTCGCCTAGATTCTATGTTAGATTTACTGGTTTGATACATAGCACAATAACACAGTATTACTTACTTGATGCCGTTTCGAGAATAAATTATTCCTCATATTCATATCAATGTAATCATACAACTATCAATATCTAGTTTTGGTAGTCCTATCACCTTATACTCTTAGTCTTTAGTGGTAGTAGAACTTTCCACATCTTGAGCATAGATGTTGCGTCATCCCTATTACATGTGTTAGATGTTGATCCAATGAACAAAGAATCAGCAATCAATCTCTGCCTACACCTAACTTTATCGGATTTAATAAACAACTTTTTCAGAAATAATTTAATTTACAAAATAGTATACAATGACTGTGAGGTCAAGTATATTGGTCAAATTAGCCGATCAGGGTCAGTTAGATTATTGGAACATATGAATTTAGCCCAATGTAGAATGACAGATCCCAATAGAATCAACAATTTGGAAGAGTATTTGGCTATTGCAGTGCATGCATTAACACTCAACCACACAACATGGTGGGATAGAGCCACTGTACTTAAGTCCAATATAATTAGGGGAATAGAGAGATTGGTCACCGAATCTTTGTTCATCGAATCATCACCCAACACTTTTAATAGAAATGATGCAACACCTATACCAGAGATATGGAAAATCTTACTAGTAATAAAAGCAAGGAATATAAGATGATAGGACTATCGAAATCAGATATCGATGGTTGTGTGATTACATTGATATGCATATGCGCAATAATTTATGCTCTAAATGTCATCAAATAAATAATACTGTGTTACTGTGCGCTATATCAAATCAGCAAATATGATGTGGAATTACTTTTACCACAGAGCTTAAGTTTTATACTTATATTGGTCTTACATATTTTTTCACACGTAAGCAGAACTACGAATTTATTATCGAAATCCGTTTTAATTACAACCAGGGTGTATCGATGTTGCTACGATACACCAAGAAATTCAGTTAATTCGCGAAAGCCAAATGATTTATCCCCACTTATAAAAACGACCAATCCTATGGTAATAAAAATATACAAACCAATGGTACACACATTGCGCTACAGGCTTTTACAAAATTAATCCATATTCCTACTTTCTTAACATTCGCATCTGTGGGACCACTATTTAGCACGTCAGTAATGGAATGACTATTACTAACCCTAACCAACAATGGTTGTACTTAAAATGATGAGTAAATTTGCCCAAAGTTACAAAAGAACACCGAACTATCAAATCATGCGTCCCCACGCTCGGTGGTTTCATCCCAGTGGACAGTGAATAGAATGGCTTGTGTAAGTTTCCAGCAAGAAATTACAAAAAACTAACACAAGGTCCTGAAATCTGGTGGTCACAAGTGGAAAACAAGATCGAAGCAGCACCTGAATTATAGCAACAGCTGGAAGCTATTTCAGCTCACCTGAGTCACCAGGAATTAGGAGCCTGATGTCACTGAGATATTTTGGGATATAGATGAAATGTCAGTCAATAGTCTTTAATTACACCTAAAAAGCTAGTTGAAAAAACTTTGAAAAAGGGTTCAACCGGTCCTAAGCTTTAGGAGTCTGAAATTCAGTATATTGGTCAAGATTTTACGAAGTATGTTATAGAAATTGTGGCAGTATCAATATGTCTCATCACTCTGAACTGAGACGACTATTTTTCCCATCTTCAAAACCGTTTGCGTATTGTATGTGTGACGATCATAGCGGTGTTAATTATTCTGCTACCATTTAAATTCAAAACATAGTCTGCTGCCAAACTTAATGAACTTTTTAAAACAAGTAAAAAACTGGTTTACGAGAGAAAATTTAGGTTTTATTCGGATCATAGCTTCACTGATTCTGTGTTTGTTTTCGATAGAATAATCATACACTAACATTACAAGTGCTGCAAGCCAACAATTGTTGTATTTCTTCCTATTACAGATTATGTGAATTAGTCAAACTGAATTTCGCTCTGGAATCGTCTTGTAAAGAGGAATGTCCTTAAGAAGTTTACCAACATATTGAAAGTTATCAAGTAGAATAAAATCATACAACTATCTTCGTTGTTCCGGAGTAACAATAGCAGGTTACATAAGGGTCACCTAGTTTCATTGTTCATCTGTAACCTTATAATCGATAATATACTTAAATCAGTTTTGAATGAGATGGTGCAGTAAGTGGACAATAACATTTAACTGACCAATCATATTTCCTTGGAAAATCGTAAAGAAAGTTCACATCGATGATGAAGGTATGCTAATAAAATGGTAGCATTCAACAATTGAGGAATAAATTTGAACACCTTTACATTCAAAGTAGTTCTCGTGACAGAATGAAATCAATTAAAGAGATACTGAAAACCTTTCAGGGTAGTGGGTGTGCACACTGCTGAGGAGTACCACACTAGCGTGAAACAGCTGTTCAGTGCTCCCAAGCTTTCAGTAGTTCTCTACCTGATGTCAATCCGCGACAAACAGTACCTTGAAACCAGCCAATCCCCACAAACCACCAATGGAATCACAATTACATTTGCTAGATTTAGTCACCTCTCAGCATTTCCTGCTACAAACCCAATAAACTTATCTCCACGCAACCAGAACCTATAATCTGGGATGCACATTACTACCAAGTCTAGTTTTTAAACCATCCACATTGTGTGACCCGACTAGGATAATACAATCTAAATACACTTGTGTGCCTCAGATATTAAATGGGACGTTATTCACCGCGCACTAGAAGGTGGCAAGAGCTATTTTATCATTGAGAAGACGATTATATTTGAATAAATCCGTACATATTTGTGATCAAACAAGTTTTAAACTCTTCTCTTACTACTGGACTTTGTAGATATACTCACGATATGCCCAATCCAGAGAAGAACAACTTTGATCAGTAAGTTCGAAAAGAAGATCTTCAGGCATAAGTGGTGAATACAGATGATTTTAGGAAGATTTATTCAGTCTGGTACAGAAAGGTATAGTGTGCGGTTTATTTCACAACCACTACCGATGGGCTATGTCGAGTTCACTGAATGGATGAAATTACATTTAACAGGTCATTTTATTTAGTGTTTGAAAATAAATAAATTTACATATGGCAGTGAACTTTTGAAATAAAAGATAGGTACAGCTCCATATCATAAGACTATGATTGTTTTAAGCTTTGGGATTTTTCTAAAATCCCCAAAACGGTTGTGACACGCCTTGACCCTACCGGATTCATCAGACTCGAAGGGATATTCAATGATACCATAGGCTATGTTCCTCCACAGTTTAGATAATCGATGGTTAGCTTTCCTATCCAGCCTACACAAAGAAGACCAAAGAGAACGTTATTTGTAACATGAAAGACACCACTATTCTCTGTTTCACCATCATGAATGACTTGATGGAGTACTTCGATAATGCATAAATGACCACTCAATGGGCTATGAATAACAACCTATAAGGTTTCCATGGCCGTCGGTTAATAAGAGCGATATTCGAAGCCATGTCCACTCAAAAACTTGCACTACCTACAGAGTTATGTCGAAAATATTTTATTCCAGTCAACAAACCGTTAATAAATATAATGAGTGATTAATAAACAATTTACTATGAAAACATACTGTTAACTTACTGGTTTTTCTATTAGATTCGTCACTTCTCTCATTTTTATGCCAGGAAAGCCAATGCTTTACACGGGTAATGATACTGGCTTTATCCGAAGACAGGCATTCATTAATTTCCTCAACCGAATTTACCGATATATGTTCTTCATGGAAATGATTGACCTCATCATTTGTAGTTGTACTTTGTAACTGGTGAGGAGTAGGTAGCTCAATACTTTTTGTTTGTGACTGACAGCTACTTTTCACATCTGTTTTCGAACTACACAGATTTTTCTTTAGATGAGCATTCTTCTTTTTAGGCTGTTGATCGACATCATAACCTGAAACGGATTGTGTGTAGATAAATAGGGAAGTTTTTATGTATAAACGCTCCTTATTATTTAGCGACCACGTATTAGTAGTAGACAGCAAATAAAAAATTATTCCAAATCAAAGATCCTCTTACAGAAAATATATGGACGACACTTTTGCTATCCGTGATGTTCGTCTAGATGACAGCCTCTAAGGAAACTTAATTCATGAATATAGAAATCTAAAGGGGATCAAGCAACAAATATGCTTAAGAATAATCTTTTTGAGCTAATCCATAGAACGTTCTTTTCAGTAAAATTTAAACTGTTTTTGTCAGCCTTAAACTGTCCTCCGTCTATGTGAAAGTTATCTCTTCTGGTTGCTTCTATGTACATTTACCAGTTCAACTTGTCTCATGGAGCACGGTACATCGACCGCAGCCAGATAATGCTTACTACACGTAGGCGACGGCATTTCCCCGCTTGTTTGTATAGAAGTGTAAGGCTGTTAAAAATTCCATTCTAGAATAGCAGACATTCTCAATATTTAGCAAATCTTGACAGTGGCTTTAAAATTATTCATAGAATTCGCCATAATCTCCCTCGTCTTCTTTATTCTCAAATGCTTGAATAGAGGAGGACTTACATATCCACTAACTAGTATGACTTTTGTGTACAAAAGAGATATGAACAGTAGCTGCTTTCTATATTCTCTATAACGGCTCCCAGACACCACTTGTTTAAATTAATTTTTCTATCTTTTCTTTATAGTTATTGTCACCTTCGCCTTGAATAGTTTTCCGTGTTATTTCATTTGATCATCTTAATCTTTTGGATAGAAGTCTATTTCATTTTAATCAAATTGTCTAATCCTATTGTCTGACTGCGAATCCGATGTGATTGCAATGAACGGTCAGTTATAGCAGCCAGACAAAACCCCTAAGTGACCGAATCGAAGCTAAGACCTGGTCAGTAGCTCAGTCGGTAGAGTACCGGGGCGGTAACCTAGAGAGCATTGGTTCAAATCCTGTAGCGACTCAAGTTTTCACTTCACATCCAATCACCAACAAGTATCGATGTTACACAATACTGTTATAGTGTGCAGTAAGATTGACAAATCTTCATAAGAAGCCGTAAAGCCCTGAAGCCTTTTCCAACCAGTCGTTTTGTTCCGAAGTTTCAGGAGAAATCATGTGAACGAACGTCTGAATATCAGATTGGTTGAAGAGACAATAGAATATTCAAATCTCTAAAGGCCTGGAAACAGCCAAGGCCACTGTAAATATATACATAAACCAATGTGTTTTGGATATACTTCTGACGTTGCAGTAAATTTTCATCATATTACCCCATTTTCCATTTATCGAAAAAACTTAAAGACAATCGAGGAATGGAGTCTGAAAGTTATTGTTCAAGCGTCCGCACATGTATAACTTAGGTTATAGCAAGTAGTCACTTCAAAGAGATAAGTGACAACAGGGGTTAAAACAACTACCTTATTTGTTTGATACTCCAATCAACTCTTCACACCTTCCTGAGCTATATACATTGTATGAAGGATTCTATATATTATATAATCCACTTTGTTGTCATTCACTATTATCTATAAGTACTTTTCTTGTTATTGATATCCATCGTTTAGATTCTCTAACGATATAAAAAATTTCAAATATTATATACATATATACCAGTGTACAGTCTGAGACTCAACTTATTGAGAATAGCCTCTCTGCTGTTTCTCTTAAGGTCACAATGGTACTTATAAAAAAATATTATTCTTGTTTGAAGGTGTGTCGGGATTGACTGATTGATTTCAAAGTGGTATTGTCACACACTATTTTATCTTTTTGCATAAGGATGAATTATCAAACAGAAGGTAAAACCCTTTGAAAACTCAAGTTAAAAATGATGAACAATCTTTATTAAGGAGAATAATTAGGTATCAAAGTAATGTGCATCCTTGGTCATATCATCATGAATACATTCGATACTATTTCAATGATTCACATTTAGATATTGCTATACAGGAATGTAACTCATGAACAATAAATATCACACTCATTTATAATTAAATAACTTTGAATATCACACATAGGAAATATTTTTTAAATATATTAACAAATACTTGTAGCTTAGGACATGTATGTCCAAACTGGTTGGGTAAAAACTTCAACACCATGCTAGATATATCATCTATAAGTAAATTAGATGATGACAACCTTTATACGTGAGGACAAATCCCAGTGATCAGTCATTCAGTCAAAGAGAAAGTCCTTCAGTGGAAACAAGGTAGTTAGTAATACTGGAGAACTACCTTCAGTTAGAGTAAACCAATTATTAAATATGAAGAACATCTGTCTAGTTGGAAAAAGCACATAAATCCGATTAGAGCAATCTTACTCCCTTCAGTTCAAAATACTTGTGAGTCAATCAGTTTAAATTTAACATTTAAATTAGGTTATTCAAACAAAAACTCAATCAAGCAATCAAGGTGTGATTAATACTAACAAACAGGACTAGGCGATCTGAGAAATGTAGATTAAAGATATCAGCAAAACCACATTCAACAAATACCAACTTATATACACACTAACTAATGGAAGTCAAATCAGGTGATGCCGCAGGCAATAAATCCACTTCAATCGCTTGCATAGTTGAGCCGATGATGGCGGTAAGCAGAAGAATGAAGCTTTTGCCACCGAAAACTCATGTTCAGAAAACAACCCTGTTGGAAGAGATGTTATATTCTGATAAGTAATTATCTCTTAACCACACTTTAGTCAACCACAAAAGTGATTTATATATATCAGTCAAATTCATTTCAGTAACTCATAACAAGTTTCACTCACATTTTACTGGTACAATAGGATCAGGTAAGTTATTCTCTACACTTCTACACTGAGTTTGGTGAGTTGTTGATGAAGATGACGAAGGACAAGTCATATTCATTTGAGTAATGAGACACAATTCTGATTTTAAAGACTCCGCCTTTACCAAGTAATATCTCATCTGGAATTTAGAAAAGTGATTGTTTTTAATTAACCAGCTTACCAAACACATTAAACTTTTATTTTACTTTGAAGAAACCAACAATGTTCACATTAAAAATCAAGCAAAATAGTCAATTTTCCTTTCACATTCCTAACGATCCCCTCGAGTGGAACCCCGATGGGAAACGACGAGTTGGGAGTCCCAGCTGAGGGTGACATAGAGGAGATCGTGTGAGGAAAAAATGAGAGCGCTTCTGAGCTGTCGTGAAACCAGGTTCAAAAGATTGCAGAGAACAGAGTGAAGTGGTAACGTGGTACTGAAGCCCCATGTTCCACTAGGAACCCAAAGGACAAATAAAAATAAAAATAATCGATTGATTTTTTCAGCAACTTTCAAAAAGTATGTTCCATCCTTATGATGTATACAGTTATACATTATTTAGACTGTAAGCAGTTGAGAGGAATCTACGAAATAATAAAGAACCAGGTCACATTATCACTCTACCCTGTTCTTCTGCCGTTCAAATTTATAGGTGGGAAGAATTGTTTGGAGTTTTTAAAGAAACACTGCTTTTCAGATGTGAATTTCCTTCCAAGAAATCCGAAACCAAAATGACCAAGCGATTATTTAACGAGAAAACCAAATGCCCAAGCTACGCGTAAAATTCAAGACGCAGGATTCGTCTGTAGTACGATATTGTACTATTAAACAATAATGACTACTGAATTACAAACCTCATATCGTGAGGTATCTGTGGACTTATCGTCGTCAAAAAGAAAATAATCAACAATACAAACAGCAAAGCTGTGTCCAAAACAAACCAGAGTATATGAAAAACATGACGATTCCCACGATGAAGTAAAATGCATGAGATAAACGAATGTTCAAGGTAATATGGAAAACCGGAGAACAAGTGAAGGTACCCCGATACAATGACAAACTGGGAAGGGTACTAATATCGAAGGATGTAGAATGACGAACAAAGTATGATTATAACTTAAATGAACAAAGCAGTGGATAACATTGTAGAAGAACATGAATTACACTAATCATTATTATCGATTAGTATGTAGCACAGACAACTGCAATCAGCACTGGACAAGACCTCACTCCAGACAGAGACATCAAAATTCTAATGGGCAACATGAATACCAAACTGGGAGCGGACAACACAAAAAGAGAACCAATCATGGGTCGAGAGGCGTTTGGTGAAATGAACGAGAATGAAGAACTGAGCTGAGCCTCCTAGCTTGGTTGCCACATTGCGAATATGCCAGATAGGATTCGGTCTGCACTCGGCACTAGACAACATGAAATTGGTTGCACTCTCGTGACCAATCAATACATGTAAGCCAGTTCTACAGGAGGTCAATCGCGGCCAGGATAGTTCAGTGGTAAGGTCGCCGACTACAACACTGGGTGACACGGGTTAGAATCTCAGGCAGGACATCACCTCCGTCGAGACTGCAGATACGCCTTGCTGACGAGTGCCAAAAACCACGAAACCGAAATCAAGCAGGGATTCCGCCGATTGCCCACAACCAACTAACATCTACGAATGAAGAACTGTTTGCAGACTTCCGTCCATTCAACGATTTGGTGATTGGAGGCACTGTGTTAGAGCACAAGGATATCCACAAAGCAATATGGATTCCAGTTCACCAGACACCAGGACACACTAAAAATAAGATCAACTTTATCTCAATCTCAACAAAGTGGACACGCAACCTACTTGACACAAAATCAAGAAGAAGAGAAAATGTAGGCTCAAACCACTCAGTATCTAGTGCAAAACACCTACCTTCAAAATCAAGTTGAAAGCCTTCACAGAAGTTAATGATAGACCACAGTTCAAGTTCAACACCCAGAACAGAAACTGAACTGAAGGACAAAACTACAACGGACATCTTCACACCAACCATCAAGACAAAATGGGAGATATCGAGCAACATCCCTGTACAAACCTGTATGCAAGAAAACTGGAACTCTTCGAAAGAAATGTGGAAAGAAACCTGCATAACCACACTAGGAAGGAAGAAGAAAGAAGACAAGGAATAAGCCTCCACGGACACATGGAAGCTGATAGAGCGGGAAGAGGTAGATAGTGAGGCAGAAGATGAAGGAGTGTAGTGCAGTGCAGTTCAGGGATGAACAACGAAAACAGGAACTGAGTACAACCTATAAAACACTACACTACACTACACTACACTACACTGGACAAAGAAGTGAAGAAGAGTGCACGCAAAGACAAAATACACTTCTACGACACTTTGGTAAGTGAAGCAGAACAGCCTGCTGGTAGGAGAGGCTTGACAACATTGTATCAAATAATCAGGTTACAATCTACGGGGGAAGAGATCAACTCAGATGAAACCAATAAAAGGTGACGATGGAAATCTAATCACCAAAGAAGAGAAACAAAGGAAACGATGGGCTGATCACTTCAAAAAGCTCTTGAATCTACCACCACCTGCACTTCGTCAACAAATACCACCTGCAGTTCAGCCACAAAACTACAGGTGCATACAAGCCATCTGACAAGGCCTCAAGTGAAGTCCTCAACACAATAAGGCTACTGAAATGCGGGAAAGCAGTAGGACCAGATGGAATCCCGCCAGAAGCACTGAGAACACACGCAGGAACAACAGCATACAAGCTCACACCACACCACTATTGCAGAAGGTCTGGAAGGAAGGAAAGGTACCTGGCGATTGGAAGAAGCGTTACCTTGTCAAACTCCCAAAGAAGAGCGACCTCAGTGTTTACAAGAACTGACGCGGAATCACTCTCCTGTCCACCCCAAGCAAGCGAAATATCAAGCCGCATCATCCTGGAGAGAATAAAGGATGCACTGGATTCAAACTACGACCGGAACAAGCTGGCTGCCTTCAGGAAGTACAAATCATGTGTGGATCAAAGTGCAACGCCACACTACACATCATCATAGAACAGAGTATAGAATAGCAGTCAACTGGGTCTTTATCTCAACTTCATCCACTTTGAAAAGGCCTTCGACAGCGTCGACCGACAAGTAATTCGGTAGGCAGCTGCTTCAACACTACAGAATACCACAAACCTATATCAACCTCATTCAACAACTATATGAAGACGCCACATATCAGCCAAGTAATTCACAATGGAAAGCTCAGCTCAGTGATGCTTTTCAAGTGAAGACAGGAGTGAAACAAGGCTTCCTGATTGTAGTGGACAGGATCATGCAACAAACAGTGAGAAGCGACAAGAGGGGGATATGCTGGACCTATGAAAAGAACCTAGAAGATTTGGATTTCGCCAATGATTTGTGTCTGATGTCACACAAACTCGAAGATCTACAGGCGAAAACTAACAAGTTGACACAGCGAAGACGGGACTTCAAGTGAATGTACAGAAGACAGAGGTGATGATGATACCCAACCAACGCCATCATCAACAACAAACTCCAATCACCATCAACGGGAGAAACTTAAAGGAACTAGCCTCTTCACCTATCTAGGCAGCATAGTTCAACTACAGGCGGCACAGACGACGACATCAAAACCAGGATCGAGAAGACAGCAAGACAGGCGTTCACTAGCCTGAAACCAGTGTGGAGATCTCCTGCACTCAGCATAAAGCGTCCTTCTATATGATTCAGAGACTTGGTGTCTTACGAAAAGCATTTCCAACAAACTACAGACATTCACCAACAACTGCCTACGCTGGCTCGTTACTGAAGATCAGATGGCCAGAATAACAAGAATAAGCAACAAGAAACTCTGGCAACCAACCAACCAAGAACCTATCACTCGACAAATATGCACTGGAAGGAAGTGGAGATGGATTGGGCATGCATTGAGAAGACCATTCGGGGACATCACGCACCAGACCCTCAAGTAGAACCCAGATGGGAAACGACGAGTTGGGAGTCCCAGCTGAGGGTGACATGGAGGAGATCGTGTGAGGAAGAAATGAGAGCGCTTCTGGGCTGTCGTGAAACCAGGTTCAAAAGACTGCATAGAACAGAGTGGGATGGAGACGTGCTACTGAAGCCCTATGTTCCACTAGGAACCCAAGGGACAAATAATAATAATAACAGTAACGATAATAATAATAGCAATAATAATGTAGCACAGAGCCTTATGCAAAAGAGAATAGATGTGTAAACTCAAGATAGAGGAAAGGAAATATGAACCCATTAAGAAAAGAATTAATATCAGGAATTATGATGAGAAACCTCGCCTGGTTAACTAGTTTACTAGTTACTAGCCGGTCCTAAGCCCGGGTAAAGAGGGAAGGTTGGCCAAAGGGCTAGCAACCCTACCCCGTAAAACAAATCTAACCGCTAAAGAAACTTCAAAGCACAAACAAAATATAAAAAATGAAAACAAACTTATTCCCCGCTGGAATCGGAGAGGCGAAATGACGCCAGTTGGTGAAAGCCTTCGGGAAGCCAATTGGCCGATGTGTCTCTTCTCTCGATGAAAGCGAAAGTAAACGTGGGGACATGGAATGTCCGCACGATGTTTGAACCCAGTAAGGCAGCCCAGATTGCAAGGAGATGAGAAGGTATAACATCGAAGTGCTTGGGATTTGCGAAAGCAGATGGAATGGGAGTGGACTCTCCAAACTGTCAACTGGAGAATCAATAATCTACTCCGGTCACCCAGACGCCAACCACGAGCACACTGAGGGAGTGGCTATCATGATGTCCTCAAGAGCATCGAAGGCTCTCATGCAGTGGGAACCAATCTCCTCCAGGATCATGACAGCAAGATTCAACTCAAAAGGAAGAAAGGTCACAATCATACAATGTTATGCACCTACAAATAATGCAGAGCAAGAGAAAAAGGAGGATTTCTACAGACAACTTCAATCAACACTGGACAAGACGTCAGTTGGCGATATCAAAATTCTAATGGGCGACATGAATGCCAAACTGGGAGGGGACAACACGGGAAGAGAACTAACCATGGGTCGAGAGGCACTAGGTGAAATGAATGAGAATGGAGAATTGTTTGCAGAATTCTGCGCATTCAACGATTTGGTGATTGGAGGCAGTGTGTTCAGGCACAAAGATATCCACAAAGCGACATGGATTTCACCAGATGGACACACTAAAAATCAAATCGACTTTATCTCAATCTCAAGAAAATGGAGACGCAGTCTACTTAACACAAGGTCAAGAAGAGGAGCAGATGTAGGTTCACACCACTATCTAGTGCAAGGAACCTTCCAAATCAAGTTAAAAGCCTTCAAGGAAGCTGGTGATAGACCTCAACCCAAGTACAACACTCGGAAACTGAAGGATGAAACTACAAAGGAGATCTTCAAGGCAGCCATCAAGACAAAATGGGAGACATCGAGCAACATCCCTGAAGAAACCTGTGTGGAAGAACACTGGAAGTCTTTGAAAGCTATGTGGAAAGAAACCTGCACAACAGTATTAGGAAGGAAGAAGAAAGAAGACAAGGAATGGATCTCGACGGATACCTGGAAGCTGATAGAGGAGAGGAGGATGGTGAAGCAGAAGATAAACCAGTGCAAGGATGCTCAACGACAAGAGGAACTGAGCACAATGTATAAAACACTGGACAAAGAAGTGAAGAAGAGTGCACGCAAAGACAAAAGACACTTCTACGAAACACTGGCAAGTGAAGCAGAACAGGCTGCAGGTAAGAGAGACCTGACGACATTGTATCAAATAACCAGGTTGCTATCAGGGAATAGACCAACACAGATGAAACCAATAAAAGATGAAGAAGGAAATTTAATTACAAAAGAAGAGAAACAGAGGAAACGATGGGCCGACCACTTCAAGAAGCTCTTGAATCGACCACCACCTGCACTTCGTCCAGAAATACCACCTGCAGCCGCTGAACTACAAGTGAACATTAATCCCCCAACGAAAATGGAAGTCCTGAACGCCATAAAGCTACTGAAATGCGGGAAAGCAGCAGGACCAGATGGAATACCGCCAGAAGCACTGAAAACAGATGCAGAGACAACAGCGGCCATGCTCACACCACTATTGCAGAAGGTGTGGAAGGAAGAGAAGGTACCTGACGATTGGAAGAAGGGTTACCTTGTCAAACTGCCGAAGAAGGGAGACCTCAGTGCTTGCAAGAACTGGCGCGGAATCACTCTCCTGTCCACCCCAAGTAAAATATTAAGCCGCATCATCCTGGAGAGGCTAAGGGATGCACTGGATTCAAAACTACGACCGGAACAGGCAGGCTTCAGGAAGTACAAATCATGTGCAGACCAAATTGCAACGCTTCGCATCATCATAGAACAGAGCATAGAATGGCAATCACCTCTCCACCTCAACTTCATCGACTTTGAGAAGGCCTTTGACAGCGTCGACCGAGAAGTAATTTGGAAACTGCTTCAATACTACGGAGTACCGCAAACCTTTATCCGCCTCATTCAACAACTATATGAAGATGCTACATGCCAAGTAATCCACAATGGGAAGCTCAGTGATGCCTTTGAAGTGAAGACAGGAGTGAAACAAGGTTGCCTACTATCCCCCATGATATTCTTGATTGTGGTGGACTGGATCATGCAGCAAACAGTAGGCAGCGAGAAGAGGGGGATACACTGGACGACGGAAAAGAACCTAGAAGACTTGGATTTCGCCGATGACTTATGCCTAATGTCACATAAACTTGAAGATCTGCAGGCAAAAACTAACAAGTTGATAGAAGAGGCAGCGAAGACGGGACTTCAGGTGAATATAGAGAAGACAGAAGTGATGAAGATACCGCACCACCACCATCAACAACAACAACAACAAACTCCAATCACCGTCAACGGGAGAAACTTAAAGGAAGTAACCTCCTTCACTTATCTAGGAAGCACTGTTTCAACTACAGGCGGGACGGACGAGGACGTCAAAGTCAGAATCGGAAAAGCAAGACAGGCATTCATTAGCCTGAAACCAGTGTGGAGATCTTCTGCACTCAGCATGCGGAACAAGATACGGATTTTCAACACCAACGTCAAGTCAGTGCTCTTGTATGGCTCAGAGACTTGGCGCGTCACGAAAGGTATTTCCAATAAACTACAGACATTCATCAACAACTGCTTACGCTCGCTGCTGAAGATCAGATGGCCAGAAAAAATAAGCAACAAGGAACTCTGGGAACGAACCAACCAAGAACCTATCACGCAACAAATATGCAGGAAGAAGTGGAGATGGATTGGCCATGCACTGAGAAGGCCGACGGAGGACATCACGCGTCAGGCCCTCGAGTGGAATCCCCATGGGAAGCGACGAGTTGGACGTCCGAGGGTGACATGGAGGAGGTCGTGCGAGCAGGAAATGAGAGCTTCTGGGCTGTCGTGGGACCAGGTTCAAAAGATCTCAGAGAACAGAGGTCACTGGAGGCGTGCTACTGAAGCCCTATGTTCCACTAGGAACCCAAGGGACTAATAATAATAATAATAATTATGATGAGAATTTACTCCATTGAAAACTGTTTTTATAAGGAAGAGTTAACTAAAAAACATGGAAGTCAAATTAGCCCCATAACTGTAACAAATAGACTCGAGAAGGGAATTGTGTTCTTCAGAATAGAAACCAGGTAACAAGTAAAATCACGCAACGTTCGAAAGCTGCATTCAGCTATATTTCTCTGAGGTAAGACCAATTCATTATATCTCATACTTTGTTCAATACTGCAGAGAAAAGAATAAGCACTCATTTCATGTCATTCTAAACTACATTTACTTACGTGTACTTATCAACGAAAGTACGTTAGGAGGAGAGAGATAAATAATCATTGGCTGCCCTAAACTCATTCTAAAAATGTAGACCACTGAAGTGTATACCAAATCAATACTTAAATGTTAGGGATGGGATATGATAGCGACATCAATTGTGACCTCCAAATTTATCGGCACACAAAGCAGTTTCAGCGAAATCTGGTCTACAGATTGAAGTCTAACTTCTGCATACAAGAAAAACCAGCCAACTCATAATAACCATTTGCATAACAAATTTTAAGTTCTGTATATATCTTCTTTTCTTGTCTTAGTGCATTACATCTGATTGATTTCAATTCAATTTAATCTTTTTCTTCTTCCTTCAAAATAATTATCTCTTTATTGTTTTATGAAAGTATTACTTGTAACTCCAATTCCATATGTGATCGATTAACACCTTGATACATCTTAAACTCAAGGGTTATGCAGTATCCAAGAAGATAAACACAAGAATCAAAGCAGCACTGAGAAGCTTTCCTGTAGCTAAACTTGTATCGGTGTACAATACAACATGTCCATTCGCATTGCTGAGCATATTCCCCAAGAGTCTGTGCTTGGAAGGAAAGTAAAATTCTAACCAGTCCAACTGCCAGACACCTCGTAAACACAGGAAATTAGGTTGAAACCTCTAGTGTTCTTAAAATAATTAAGGTACAGAAAACGTCTGGATTATTGCGCTTCACGGAAACGACTGCAATAAAACGCTTTCAATCTGACCTTTGCACTAGCGACTATGATTCGATCCTGTTTCATTTTCACTATATAACTTTCGACTGATTTGTTAATCTTCCTTTCTTATATTTCTTACCTCTTTACAATTAATTGTCCTACAGGTCATATGGATTTACCAATGATTTCGTTGTATAACTTAAGATACTATTCATTTCCTAATTTTGAAATATCTTATATCCTAATAACCAATGTACTTTTAGACTGTATGAGGCTGAGCTGAAGAGTATTCCAGAAATAAAACGACATCACTCTATCCAGCAAATTTCGTCCTTCTTGGCTTATCAAAATGAACCATATAATATGCAATTTTACAGTACAACGCGTGCATTTAACATTATTGGTACACTGTATTTTCATCAACTACTATGTGTAAATCAGCTACTCGATACAAGTTCATAAATAAAGTGATGATCCACAATCTCATGTGTCAAAACTTATCCTACTAATTAATCGCTCATAACAAGATTTGAACGGATGTAAATTCAACATTTACCATGTCAACATAAAAATGAACAGAAAAAATGCAAACCCAGCTAGTCAGTACCGAATAGGACGAAACGCACGCTCTGGACCACACTGTTAACCACAAAGTCAAATGAGTTTATTTATTTCACATGCATGATAACATACATTAAAGTTAATATCTTCCAAATCTGGTTGAATGTTAGCACAGTTGAAAGCAACTTAATCAAAATATATAAGTCTGGAGTTGTTACTAACTGGGTTCGATACTCGGTGTTCCAACTGAAGTCCACCTACTTGTAACTTAGCCGGAGTTATGTAGTGTCTAAAACCATGATAAAAATGATAAAAAATGGCTCATAGCACAGTAAACAAACCTGAACGAGGTTAGAATCACATTGAAATTTATGCTGTTAACGAACCAGCCCACTGAACTGAAAAAAACGTCAATTTTAGCCTCAATAAAAACGTTGTAAGAAATTAGTAAAAAGTCAAAAATCTTTTGTGTTTCAACATAGATTTCAAATTAAACGTCAATTGGTAAAAAATATTCCTTAACGGGATAAACTAACCAGGCTTCGTATTTCCGCTTTCCGAAACCGCGAGTGTTCATCTGTAAGTTAAATAGAGAATCAATTTTTTCTTTAAACGCTTCAAAAATAAAATAATCCAAAGGTTTTTTCATTTATTCACGAGTTCAACACAACCTTCATTTTAAAACAAATTTTTGATGCAGTGAACATCGGCGTGTTAGGTGAACAAATGGGCTGATGAAATATAAATAACTCTAGAGGCAATCAGAACAACAAGTGAAGTAAACAATCAGACTTCTGTATTTTACGAAACAACCATCTTAGCAATCAAAATAGAGAAACCTTGATTGATTGTTTCAGTTATTGCCAAGGTTGCCTTTAAAGTTACCCAGAAATTTACGACTGCTATAACAAATAACTGCTACAACGACAAGTAAACTGATAGTAGCTTGCGATCACGTGCTGGAACAGATACCAATAGAATACGTGACTCTCACGGCTACCCCAGAAACTATAAAAACAACCAATTAGCTTCCAGTATTTAGGTTGGAAATGCACTTTCTACATGAAATAAAGAAACCGATTGACTGCTCACTAGTTGCTAAGGCGGGACCTTAGAGTCACTCAGTTATTCATATCTCCCTATATGAATACCACTACACTTGATACCCTTTATCAAACACATGAAACATAGACTAAAGTCAAAACGATACCATATATTCTCAACCCCTTAATTAACTTTCTTTCTCCCCCACCCTTCCACCATACGACAGAAGATAAAGTCGATTGTCTACCTTTTTATATCTAGGTACATAAAGAAATAAAATGTACGTCCATATCAGACCCCAAGTCCTGAAACGAAGTAACTCATTTTAGGCAGAAAAAGGAATAAAACACAATAACCGAATCCACGAGACATGCAGTAATTTCGGATAAATCTTACGAAAATACATAACAGCTAGATACAAAGATTTCGAGTTGAACAATACAATAATACTATCAAAAAAGTACCAAGTAAAACGTCTTTCAGATAAATAAAATAGTATGACCGGTAATACTTGTCTGAAATCTCTATTTTCCCTTTTCCTTAAACAGGGTAGCTGACAGAATTCACTTACACTAACCAATAACACGTTTTAACTAACTAGTAATAACTCAGTTTGCATATCAGACATTTATTTCCAGAAGCACCATGCGTACACGTGATACAACTTCGGAATGTAAAGTTTGATGTGTGTAGTTTATACTTATCTTCACCTATTCAGAATAAATTATAATGATTTCTAGATAATTTCCAACACTATATATATATATATATATATATATATATATATATATATATATATATATATATTATGTGTCCCTTGGGTTCCTAGTGGAACATAGGGCTTCAGTAGCACGTCTCCATCCCACTCTGTTCTATGCAGTCTTTTGAACCTGGTTTCACGACAGCCCACAAGCTCTCATTTCTTCCTCACACGATCTCCTCCATGTCACCCTCAGCTGGGACTCCAACTCGTCGTTTCCCATCTGGGTTCTACTTGAGGGTCTGGTGCGTGATGTCCCCGAATGGTCTTCTCAATGCATGCCCAATCCATCTCCACTTCCTGCATATTTGTTGAGCGATACATATATGGCTTCTCATTCGAAAATAATCTGTCGAGATTTCTGAATCGCTGACTGTACCATCTATCCCATCCATCGAATATAATCGAAAAATCGATGCAGAAGGTAATGGAACAAGCTACTAGTAAACAGCCATCCTATGACAAAAGAAGATAAACAGCTAAGCAAATATACTTGCAAGTGAGATACCTTCTTTCGCTGACGTATACAATGTTATTGTGTCACTAATGACTCCTCTTCATATTTCAACTTTCTAAAGTAATAAAATGAAATTAGCTAAATATTTCTTAAATACAATTTAATAATGGAGTACATATATATGCATTAGGCATTTATATAAACCAAATATCCGATGCCAAAGCGTTTCCTTGAACTATTTATAGTAAAGAATGAAAGACGTTTGTTCCATCAACTCAATGGTTTCTGAAAGTCAAATGTTTAAGTCAGTAAGTCATAGATCTATGACTATTACATTATAATGTTACGATATCATAAGTAACTAATCTCGCCACTTACAGAAGAGTTTGCACTATAGTGATGGCAAAACGGAAGATTTGACCTATATTGCATATTGTAAAATCAATCATATCTTCACGGTAGTACATGTCATAACAAGATAGGCAATTTTGATGATTGTGTTGGTGTTTCCATCCTGAGGTATAAATCTGCTCTAGTATCTTGCGGAGTTTTCTACATTTATGAGTGAGAATATACGAAGCCTCAAAGTAAAAATACACAGTGTCAAACAGGAATATGAACACAAAAACTGACACTCACAATTACATGCAGCCACTAAGTGATTAAGACCTTCTAAATAACAATCATACGCTTCACACAAATTTCCCAATGATTCCAATCGAGGTGCGCGTTCAAGAAATTCAGTCTACAGGTAACGACAATGAACAGAATGAAAGTTTTAAGGGGAAATCTTATATATACATATGCACAAATAAATATATAAATTAATTGTTGATGAGACTTGAGTTTTGCAGATTAATCTCAATATAATGGGGCGACAATTGAAGTTTGTAAGAACATGGAAAAAGCAAAGTGCTACTTTGAAACCAGCAGCAACTGAAGTTTCCTATGAATTTTAGTCATAGTCCAATTAAAATTATTTAGCAAGCACAAAAAAACTGATACAATAAACTATTCTTTCAAGGTGTCATTCGTCCAGAACTGAGTCACAATCCCTGAAAAACGACAAATTGATCATGTAAATACCAGCTGTTTTGATAAAGTTTAACGCTCACAACTCCACGAAAGGTAAAGAATAAGTAAGGAAAACACTATCAGCCTACGTTGAGGTATCAACGAATGGAAAACTGTTCAGAATCACTGAACGAATACTCTAAGTTTAACAGATTAACAACGTTTCTAAGAGATCATTACACAATCTATCAAATTTACAGTTTCAGTACAAATCAAACTGTTTATTTGAAACGTGTGGTCAAAATTATTAATTATCGATGCGCCTTTGACCTACTTTGAACTCTCAACTCACTATTATTCACAGTCACTAAGTAGGTAAATAATTCAAGAATAAACAAATGTACTTTTCGAAAAGTAATCCATACTTGAGGAAGACCAATAGAATTAAGTAATGACTATTTTCGCTAGAAACCTTAGTACCGTGTTATCTTCAGGTCCTGTAACCAGTGAAATGCACAAATTAAGTCGAAGCTACATGTGACTTTTACTTTAAACAGATATTTAACAAAATTTTATTATCTCTTATCATTCGGTTACCATTACAAGTAAGACTATATAAATAGTAGCTTAAGATGGTTGCAGCTACCCATGTCGAGATAATAGACAAAAATTTTCTACTTTATTACTAGTGGTTCCATGTTATAAACATACTTCACAAACTTTACCAACAACCAAATTACTTCTTGTCATAAATATCACATCTAAATCATGCATGAAATTATTATCAAACATTATAAACATGAGATGAATTGTAATAAACTTACACGTTATATAAGCCACTCACGTTAATCTTCACCTAGAAACCTTGCCGCAAAAGCATACAACTTAATTTCTGTTTTTATACGTACATTTCTGATGAATACTTACATAATATGATTCATTTTTCCTCTCTAGACAATCATAAATTTACACACATGAACACAAACAAGTTTTCACTTGCCGGGAAAATTTGCCTACAAAAAGGTTTGTTTCTATTCATGATAACCATGTTGCCGTACTTATTTCTAAAACTTATATTTAAAGCTTTATCAGTATGAGTCAACTCTTATGAATAATCTGGATGGGAGGGGATCTGAGTGGGTAGCTGAACAATGTAATAAAAAACTAAGAATTACAACCAAGTTTGTATTCTATGAACTGTTGGTGAATGACTACAATCAGTGTGTGAAGATACGAGACAGTGGCCAGTTAGCAGACATTGAAGGGAAAAAGGTGTACATTAAGAAACTCAGATTTGGAAAGACCCTCAACAAGAATCATCAACACGAAAAAACAGGAACAGAAGTCGAAAATTTTCAAATCTGTTTTGCATGAACCTTCAGACACCAAGTTATTTTCCAGATAGTTATCCACTATGAGGTTTTGCTATAGGTTCATATACCATGATATAAATGAAGAGTAGTACAACGATTTGATGGATATTTTCAGTGCAGAATGTATGAATAGTTACTTAATTAATCTTGTGTATACAATCGTCTTTATGAACAATCACGCCACTGTTGTCGTATGCGACTCATCTTCCTTTATGTTTCCAACTGACGTTTTAGATATTGCAATAAACATTTTACTCCACTGGCTAATAATCAAATCCATATACAACTGAGAGATATTACTAAAGCGAATTAACTATAATATTCAGGAGAATACATACACATGATTTATATCGTTAGATTTCTGGCATTTTCAATTGTACTTTTCGTCTCAGCAGATACTTATTATCAAAGTGACTGAGACAGCTGTGGTTTGGCAGACTCTTATTATTGATACTGGGTGATGACTGGAGGTGAAATGAAAATCTGGTTGGCAGCTGGTAGAGAACCGGGCCGGTAACCCAGAGACCACTGGTTCAAATTATTTCACCTTCAATCATCACCCAGTATCAAAAAAACTTATTAGCCAATAAACAAGTTCTGCTGACATTAAGATAATCAGTAGACTTCAATCTTCACAGGTGTGATATACGCATCAGAAGAAAAAAATCTGTCATAAATCTTATGTATTGCTTTTCATCAATGCTGTAAATTCATACTGCAACATAATTCTATAGATATACAGAAATACTGCATGAAAGCGTATGCATAAATGTCATTCAACCAACACAAAACAAAAGGTTTATTTCGTAGGGAAAAAATCACTGTGCGATATCAATTTATTTTGATTGATCAAAAGTACTCTCATAAGCTATACCTTTGCTGATACGTTTAACATTACGCTTAGTTTAAGTCACATTTGAATTATACAACCACCTCACTCAGTAAAAGAGTTGGGCGACACTGTGCACCTTCCAATCCATCAAAGGATACTCCTAGGTTTATGTCCATGCCCATGGACTAGCAACTGGATATGCTAAAATTCGTGAGGATTACACTACACAAATAATAGAAAATTTTGTGCGTCGATAGTCTTAATTGTAACAAGTGAAAAATACGGACGATTATTTTTGCTCGGACAAATTTTCACTCCACTTTCTTTGTTTTGATTTCCTATCCTCAAATTTTACGACATGCAATCCACCATTCACAAAACAATAACATTTCACTTGAATAACAAATCAAGAACTCTGCCGTAACCCACTGTCTAATAATCATAGAAAATCGATAACATTTCCCCAGAAATTTAGTGATAATTATCACACGGTACTAGATAAACATAGTCACCCTACTTCAGACCTTGTTGAAGATTCCACGGTTTATCATTCAATTTAACTAGAAACTCAGTCGTATAGAATAAGAATAGAAGCGTATACAATGGCAATAAATGCTAAGTGCATGTAAGTTTGTCATGACAGTAATCATTAACAGTACTCGGTATTATTTTCGAAGACAAAAACAAACGATAAAATAAAGTTCATAATTAATGGTAAAATAGGAGGGAAGCAATATGTGACCATAAGACAGATGAAATTTACCCTCTATAGTACATTATATTAACAGAGTTTAGTGGCGGTAAATCAACGTATTAATAAAAATCACTCAACTGTATAATACTGACTGACAGTTATAAGATGACACATGAGGTAAGTGAATCAATATTTCACAGCAAAAGAATTAGCGGATTTCAGTAAGAGAAATTCACAACAAGAAAATTACTGATTTTATCAGAATTCTCACCGTAATAAAAGATAAATCAAACTCCATCGGTTATCACAAGATATGTTGCCTGCATTAGCCCGTTGTTGATCGGCTACCATTAGAATATGAGCTTCTGAGTGGATATCTTAACACTGCCTGTCGTTTCAATTTTATAGAAATGATGGATAATGACTAGCAGTGGAATTTAGGATATCCGTTTTGTTTTATTTGAAATTCGTCAGCTGGATGTACCTGCCTCGTAGTGAACAATGCTGTCTCCCCTAGGACTCGGGACGATTGTTATAAAATGATTATCATAGAGTTGAAACGACAGGCAATATCGAGGCATCCACGCAGGAGCCCATACGCCTACAGAGACCGACTAATTCGGCTCAGTCAACGACGAGAAACTACAAGCAGTAAAATAAAAACTATACCTACTGCACATAAGTGGCTAACATGACTTAATAACCTAGTGGGCAACGATCTGACGTTTGAAGTGATCGGTCCTGGGTTCGACTTTTAGTGAGAACATCACCCACGGGAAGGTAGGTACACCTAGCTGGCAAGTCCCAAATAGGATGAAACGCGCTTCGCGGATTTCCCTCCCAGTTACTATTCATTACTAATATTACAAGATATGTTCTTAACTTAATGACTAACTATCGAAACGAAAACAAACTGTAGTGGCGACAAGGGATAGTAGTATAGTTTATCAGACTATTATGACTGTCGCTTTGAAACTTAAACACTTTTGGCTTGTTTGCAAGAGTTGGGCGTGGTATGACTAATAAAAATACTTATCTGATGAATTTTTCGTCTGCTCAATAGTATAATAAGCATATTTCGTTTACAAATTTCTTGTAAGTTCCCCATTTCACAGAAATAACTAAATTAGATCTCAAAGTGTAACCCACGGTTTATCAAAGTAAATGCTCTTTCGATTTAATCCACAATGATGTTGATGTTATTTGGTGTCCTAAGAGCTACTGGAAGTCATTTCAGAATCCAAGTGTTCAACTGGACGATGAGATATCTGAAAAAACTTTCAGTGGAATGGATTCAATCAAATAAAAAATTAGTGAACTAAGAGGGAATGCAATAAATCGTAATAAATTCCAGGACCTATGAAATCTTGAAAGCCATTTTGAGATTGAAGTTTAATTTAAAATGTTCATGTTACAAATAGAAGACATGGTGCCTTAGTCATTCCACCAAATGAGCATCAACGTGAGACCCGGCATTACTGAATAGTGGTCCAAGATGCCACACCTCATTTCAGCATATCAAACGACGAAGCACTAAGATGAAGCATATAAAGTTAAGAAAGAAAGTAGTAAAAAATCTTGGAAACTCATGCAGAGAGAATAGGAGAAAATAGAAGGAAAATGAAAATCGGTATGACGATTTATATCAGAATGATGTGTGAATCTATCTGCGCCAGTGAGATTTGATTCTCAACCATACCACTTGAATTATCCAACCATCGATATTGGTTATCACGCAAAACCCAACTGGAAAGTCAATATCGCCTTATACGACTCAGGCCAATAGTCGGAGACCACTTATAACGCCATCCTTTAGTTTGGCTATTCATAAC